TCATCTATTACTTCTTGCACTTTCTTAATCATTATTGAAGTTTGATCATGAGAATACATTTTCATAAAGCAAAACTCCACAAATGCAAGTTTTTTCCTAGGATAAAAAATAGAAGCAATATAAAGTAACATATTCATTTTCTCCACATTCTCGCAATGCTTGTCATACTTATACTTTATTCTCTTAACCATTGCACTCAACATCAACATTCAATTGCCAATTTTATAAAATAGTATAAACACAAAAAATATCTACAAGAAAATTATTAGCAGTGACATATATAGAACCGAAACTCTAATTTTGATATTGTAAAATTTTTGCGAGAAAAGACATAATTTTCTAACATTTTTCTAATTATTTTGATTAGGCACCCTATTTATAATAAGAGCTCACTTCTATAATAAGTATTAACATCATCAAATGCCTCAAAAGCTTTTTTAAACTTTTAAGCTTTTTTCAATATCAAGTAAGTAGAGTTCCACCTACTAATAATATTTAAACACAACAAGCTCTTACTTTGAATAAGTTCATTGACAACATTATTTAAACTTGGCTAACCTAGAGAGTGATTGTCTCACATATCTAATCGCCCTTCTAACATGAGTAACTGAACCTATCATTTCTTTTAACCTATGATTCACAATAAGGTTAACAATATGAGCAATGTATTTTAGAATATAAGTTTTTGCGTTGTTAAATTTTTCTTCAAATATGTGATTATAACATCAGTAGAACTAGCATTAATAACTATGATAGTGAAAATCTTATCAATCCCTTAATCACTCAAACATTTCTCAATTGCTCTACTAATAACCTCACCTTTATGACTAAAAATAGGACAAAAGTTTAATATCCTTTTGTTAAGTTTCCAATCATTGTCTTCAAAAGGAGTTGTAGGACATATATAATTGACTTTTTGGAATAAAGTCCATGTGTCAGTGATAAAAAATACTTTTATATAGACAATTTTAAGAATTATTAACGAAATTTTTTTTCATCTATATAAATTTGATAACAATCCTTAGCAATTGTCTATCATGATGGCCTACGAAATCTAGGACATGCAAAAGATATAACAACAACAATAAACTAAGCTTTATATCCAATAACTCTTAGGTCAATTATGTGAAAGGCTAAAAAAAAGAATTATGTTAGGTTGTAATTTTAAATCTTCTTGCATAATTCATTTATATAAAAAATAATTTTTCATCTACTTCCTTAACTCTTATATCATATCTTATTACTTACATCCACATATCTTGTAGTCTATTTCTAAAAGTTTTGATTTCACCTAAATTCAAAAACTCATTTCTCCTAACTGGTGTGCATATAGGTTTATGTTTCACACATCCAAAGAATCTTAAATAATTCTCTCTTATCTTTTCTTAAATTCGAATTATCCTTAATTTTTTTTCAAATTTCTTCATTTCTGATTTGTCTCTTTTAGTTTTACTACACATCCATCTAAATATCCTTATCTCAGCTACACTCATTTTTTTTTCATGTTGTTTCTTAGCGGCCTAATACTTAGTCCTATATAACAATAAAAGCCTTACAATTATTTTATACAATTTCACATTTTACTTTAAAGACATGTTGTGATCACACAACACAATTGATACACTTCACCACCTCACCCATCCTACTTGAATCTCATGATTTACATCACTTTCGATCTGAACAATGTTTTGAAGAACTGATCCTAAATATCAAAAATGACTACTCTTTGGTACTACCTCACCATCCAACTTAATCACACTAGCCTCGCTTTTCTATGACTACTAAACTTGCATTCCATATATTTAGTTTTAGATCTATTCAATTTAAAGCTTCTAGACTCTAGCGTATGCCTCCATAATTCTAATTTCGCATTAAAATCATCCTTTGTTTCAGCAACTAAGATTGTATCATCGATAACTAGGACATGTAATAGACATGCAACGCCTAAACGCTTTAGCTTTCACAAATCTAAAAGGTAATTCATCTATAAGAATCATCTCAGCCAAGTTTTCCTTAATGGTATCTTGATTAAATTTTCAAATACCTAAAGAACCATCTCCTCCTGAGCTTAAAACTAATTCCGTTTGGGAATGATCACCACTAGCACAAAGATATTTAGTACAAACACTTGCGATTCTTTAAAACAGAGGTTCCATTTTTTTTTAAGTGAGCATAAAATTTTCTATCACAATAATTGCATCTAGCTTTAAGATCACCTTTCTCATTAACAAATTTGGTGAAATGGTCCTATACCTCCAACCATGTTTTCAGTTTTTTTCTTTTCAATTGAGTACTTACAACTTCACTTTTTATTCCATATGTGTCTCCTTCACCTTGAAAGATTGAATGAGTATCCACTTTGTGTAGTATCTCTATCATTCATTTGTTCAACATCTTTAACAAAAAAAATTTTTAAGTTATATATAAACACAAGAAAATGAATAATATGAATCATAATCAACTACTAATAAGTACAATTATTGCATGTGAAATTCATTCTATAATGTAATAAATGGAGGAGAAAGATACCTGTTATAAATCATACACAAATGCTAAAGGCTTATTTTTTTCACCTATAGCATATTACATGTATATTCTGATAAATGAAAACTGCACCAAATTCTAAAATTTTAATAGCAGAAACTACTGGTATATATGGTGATGAAAGATGTAAAAGAAATTATGGCAGGTTTTGAGTTGATAAAAGGCTAGAAAATGAAGAAATTGATGTAAAGTCATTGAACAAATAAAAAGCTGAATATGAAGAAATTGCAGCCAACTTTCCCTTTATATCTTTCACACACCTAGCTAATATCGAACTTAACTGTCCTATCATGGTCCCATTCATTCTCTATTGCTATAATATTTCCCACTGAGTAAGAAAGACATCAGAGAAGTTATGGATTTCATACCTAGCATGGAAAGGAAAAAAGGAAATAATATTAAAAGTAAAATAAATAAACAAACATAGCATGTCGTTTTATAATCATTTCCTCAACATAAAAGAAAAGGTTGAATGATTTCATTGTCAATGTAGGGCAATCAATTTTTTTTTCTTATCAAAATTATCAATAGATACATAGACCTCATGAACAACAACTAATCAATTAAGAAAATGCACACAATTCCAATGCCATTGTGCATAATCTTCCAAGTAAGAAATCTTTTCATCCAAAATTTGTAGCATTGAGAAATGAAAAACACCCCAAACAAGAAAAGAAAAAAAATTTGTTTGACTACGAATTTGAATTAGAATTGACACATATCTAAAAATAGTAATTTAAAGAAGGCTAGTAAAGGTAGAAGAGAGAAGAATCACAATTTCATATTTTTTTCAATACAAGTAAGCTAAAAACTAAGTCTTTACGAAGTGTCTAGCTAAAAATAGAAAATTGATATAGAAAACAAGCCTCACCAGTAAAAAAAAAAAAAAGTAAAATCTTTTGGGGCAATGGAAGACATAAAAGCAAAAAAAAAAAAAAGAGAATTACCAAAGCAAATACAGGGCTAATGAAAGGAAGAATGAAAGAATATTAACATGACAAAAATGAGAAGCAGAGAGATTTGACAAGAAAACTCAAAAAAATAAACACTAAGTACAAAAGAATGAACCAGCAGAATTACACCAAATTTTGAAGGAATCAGAAACAAAATAGAAAAACAAGATATCAAAACCCTTACCTTAGAGTTAATGGACCAGATCACACAAGATTGAGCCCCAAAAGAGCTAGCAAGCCATTTGTGGTGACTATGACTTGAAACATTTTTAAAGAGTGAGAGCTTAAGTGAGTGATAGAGTGGGAGATTGAGAAGAGAGCTTAAGAGATCTTAACTTGTGAGGAGTGAAAGAGCTAAGTGAAGTCTGATATAAAGAGTCGAAAGAGGCGACTAGCAATGTTGAGAGAGAGAAAATGTGAGTAGGTAAAATATAAAGGAAATATTACTAATATTTTAAAATTATTTAATTGTTTAAATTAGTTTTTGATCGATTCAGTTGTTAGAATGTAAAACTGACAACTAACTGTTTAAACTGTACTAAAAATTGACTTACCAACATAACTCGAATTAACCAACCCGATTTAACTAAAACTTACGATTTTGGTTAGGCATTTCAATTATACTTGAACTTGGCTTAGCCCTAACTATATCTAAAATGACAAAACCCGAATTAGACCTGTTTGAGCTGAAAACTTTCAATTTTGGTTGGGTATTTCAATTATACTTGAACTTGGCTTAGCCTAACTATATCTAAAATGACAAAACTCGAACTAGACCTGTTTGAGTTGAAAACTTTCGATTTTGGTTGAGTATTTCAATTATACCTGAACTTGGCTTAGTCCTAACTATATCTAAAACGATAAAACCCGAATCGAACCTGTTTGGGCTAATACATATGCACAAAACTTGAATGATCGTACATGTACTTTAACGTAGCTTTTATAGATTTTTTTTAAAAAAAAGACTAACAGGTAAAAGATTTTCTTAATTATAATTTAATAATAATTTAAATTTTTAATGTTTTATTACCATCAATTAAGTTTTAATTTTTTTATTAAATGTACAAAATCTAATCACATTACAAAATTGAATTAATCAATTTTTAAATTATAATAAATTAAATTCTTAAATGATCTTAAACAGAGAATAGAGAAGAAAAAAATTTATTTTATTTAATATATTAATTGATAAATTTTAATTTATTCTATTAATATCATATAAAATTTTATTTTAGTTGATAAAAAAAATTAATGATGTTTTTTTTATTAAAAAGCATAATTAGATGTAAGTGATGTTAAAAGAATTGATTAATTATAATAAAAACTAGAGTTTAGATGATTTTTTAATGATAGACAAGAGATATTTTAACCGTTTAGCCTTTCTGAAAGCATAATGATTTTGTTCGAATCACCCCGATTGTTTCATTTGTTTTACCTTTTTTTTTTTCAAAAGAACAAGCAAAATCAGGTGGCTTTTTTTTTTTTTTTAATTTTTAGTATACCCTTAAATCCTTCCTACCTTACTACATACTTAATTGGAGGAATCATTACGCGTCTAAACGCCATCAAACCCACGACGTCCAAAGAACCAGGGTGGGCACTTTGCGGAGGGTTTGTGTCGAGAAAACCCAGAGTCTTTGTTTTGACGGTTCTTGAAATCCAAAACAGATCCAATTCCATAACTTTTAACGTCTTTCAACTATCTGAAAACCAACATCACCATTCTACATTTTAACAAAAACCCATTGCAGAAACCCTCTAAACAATCCAATGACGTCAAGTTCCAGCGCAAAAACCCTGGTCAAAACCATCCTCAAAACCCCACAAACTCTGAAAACCAAATTCCAAGCCAAGCAACTCCATGCCCAATTCCTCAAAACCCAACCCCACTCTCCCTCTTCAACTTCCATCCTCATTTCCATCTACACAAATTTCAACCTTCTACAAGACTCCCTCTTTCTCTTCAACTCCCTTAGCCCACCTCCACTTCCTGCTTGGAAATCCATCATCAAATGCTATGCAAACTCTGGCCTTTTTCTAAACTGCTTAACTTGTTTTATCCAAATGCGTGGTTTTGGTATATGCCCAGATCATAAAATGTTCCCTTTTGTTCTTAAAGCTTGTGTCTTTTTAAAGAACTTGAGGCTGGGTGAGTCTATTCATGGTTGTATTATTAGGCTTGGATGGGACTTTGATTTGTTTACAGGAAATGCCCTTTTGAATATGTATGCAAAATTTCAAAGCTTAGAAGTGAATGGAGGATATAAAGTTTTCACCTTTAATATGCTTGATGGAATGCCAAAAAGTGATGAACTTTGTGAGAGATTGGCTCAAGAGAAGGGCAAAAGTGTTATTCAATTGGATAGTGTGACAAAGGTTTTTAAGATGATGCCACAAAGGGATGTCGTTTCATGGAATACGGTAATTGCGGGGAATGCACAAAATGGAATGTATGAAGAAGCTTTGAAGATGGTTAGGGAAATGGGGAATGCTAACGTGAAACCTGATTCATTTACTTTGTCCACCATACTTCCTATATTTGCTGAGTATGCGGATATCATGAAAGGAAAGGAGATTCATGGATATGCTATTAGACATAGGTTTGATTCTGATTTGTATATAGGTAGTAGTCTGATTGATATGTATGCCAATTGTGCTCAGATTGAAGATTCATGCCATGTATTTAATCTGTTGCCTCAAAGAGATGATATTTCTTGGAATTCGATTATTGCAGGGTGTGTACAGAATGGTATGTTTGATGAAGGTCTGAAGTTATTTCGTCAAATGTTAATGGCTAAAGTGACACCAAGAGAAGTTTCATTTTCTAGTGTTATGCCGGCTTGTGCTTACTTGACAACACTGCATTTAGGAAAGCAACTTCACGGTTACATAATTCGGGGTAGATTTGATGATAATGTGTTTATAGCCAGCTCACTTGTTGATATGTATGCCAAATGTGGAAACATCAAGGCAGCTAGGTGGATTTTTGATCAAATGGAACACCATGACATGGTTTCATGGACAGCGATAATCATGGGACATGCTTTGCATGGACATGCCTACGATGCCCTTTCATTATTCGAGCAGATGGAAAAGGATGGGGTGAAACCCAACTATGTATCTTTTATAGCTGTCTTTACTGCTTGTAGTCATGCTGGATTGACAGATGAAGCTTGGAAGCATTTCAAAAGAATGAGCCAGAATCATGGTATTACACCTGGCTTGGAACACTATGCTGCCATGGCAGACCTTCTTGGTCGTGCAGGAAAGTTGGAGGAAGCTTATGAATTCATCTCTAGCATGCATATTGCACCTACAGGCAGTATTTGGTCAACGCTATTATCTGCATGTAGAGTCCATAAGAACCTTGAGTTGGCTGAAAAGGTTGCCAAAGAAATATTTAAAATTGATCCAGGGAATGTGGGAGCTTATATTCTGATGTCAAATATGTATGCAGCTGCTCGTAGATGGAAAGATGCAGCAAAGATGAGAATCTTTATGAAGAAAAAAGGCATAAGAAAGGAACCAGCTTGCAGTTGGATAGAAGTTAAAAACAGGGTTCATACTTTTATATCTGGAGATAAATCACATCCTCTTTATGACAGAATATTTAAGGCATTGAAAGATCTTATGGAGAGGATTGAACGAGAAGGGTATATTCCTGATACAAATGAGGTTTTCCATGATGTTGAGGAGGAGCAGAAGAAGTACTTGCTGTTTAGCCATAGTGAGAGATTAGCTTTAGCTTTTGGCATCATTAGCTCTCCTGCTGGGACAACAATTCGAATAACCAAGAACATTCGTGTTTGTGTGGACTGCCACACAGCTATAAAGTTCATGTCAAAGATTGTTCAAAGAGAGATAATCGTGAGGGATAATAGCAGATTTCACCATTTCAAAGACGGAGAGTGTTCATGCAGAGATTATTGGTAACAGGCCGAATATGAAATGATGTTGAGATCCAAACCATTGATCATCTACAGGTTGAGGGACCAATATGATATGCTGTTTTCACTCTTTGAGCATGGGAGAAAATTGCCATGAGAATCTATGTGGTAAGAATTCATAAGCTTCCCCCCCAGAGAACTTCATGATAGCTAAGTTCTTTTGAAGTGCATTTTTCTGGAGCCTCTCTGCTCCTTATCTCCATCAGAATGTTGTAGGAATAATTGCATGCTAACCTTGTATGATTGTTTTATTTAAAACATTTATGTACATATTACATGAAAACACACTTTGGAAGAGTTTTACCAACAATGTTTTTCCTCCATGTGAAATGCTAGCTGATAAGGAAATTTGTTCTTATCATTGGCAGAATGGTAGTTGTTGATCATGATTCATGACCTTGATTTGAAATGCTATCTATCCTTCTGTTGCCTCCGGACAAGTATGGTTTATTGTTGCATCCTTGAATCACGAAAGCAATTCCTTGAATTGCCATTAACTTTACAGCCCTGCAGAACACATACATGCATCGGTTGGTCCGTCTTTATGCTTAAAGCAATTAATTTTTTTTCTTCAGACTTCACTTAACATCTAACCTTGGAAAGAAGTTATAGCTTTATGTTAGAGGCAATTACTATTGGCTTAAAAATTAAAATACTAACAAGTTTTTATCCTGTAGATTAGAGAATCTGCTTTTCTTATTTAAGCTACATTAAGGAGTAATACTTTAAGCTAACAAAGAATATGAACTTTTATATTCTCAGATCCTTGTCTTTCTTTTCTCTTAAAAGAACTTATATTTATAACAAAATAAACAAGAATAATTAGCAAAGGAAGAATATGTTTCGTAAATGGTTTTTTACTGTTTATTTGTTTAAGTTCAAAATATGAGCAAGGACTAAAAATGTACTCACCTTTACTCGAAATAATAGAGCAATCTATGACTTCTTCTTTTGCAAATCAGCAGCTGAAGGTAGCTTGATTGAATCAAATACCTGGTCTCTAACATGCATGATCTTTGGCCAAGAGAGGTAGGTAGCCCATAGGACTGGGACAATCATCAAAATATAAGTCCTTGAGTAAGAGGCTCTTTAAGGTCTCTTTGGCATCTGGAGATTTTAGAATGGGGCATGAGGCAATCACCAGACCGTCAATAGCTGTTGGCAGTCCTTCATCTGTCAGTGACTCAAGCTTTGAAAAGCCTCGGATAGAGAGCATTTTGAGAGAGGACAAGCTCTTCAATGAACCTATTTCTACAGACAAAGTGAGGTCTTTGCAGTCACTAATATGAACCCCTAAACTCAACATAACATTGTAAGCCTAATCTATCAACAAGCATTCATGATGATTCCAATTTCCCACAACAAGAAGAACAATGTATACAGGCATCCTTTGTAGAAATAGCTCTCTCTCTCTCTCTCTCTCTCTGCATGATTAGATAATCTTCCACATACCATTGATGTGTGTTAATTTAATGTTAGCAAGGTTAGAAGTATATAAAGTTCATATTGAACTTTTGTCTTATAGTGTGGTGGAGCTTACTTGGGTAATGAGTTAACACTATTTGTCCGTCCTATTTTGCATACTTAGTTTTGAATGCATGCAACTACGCCTGTGACTTTGTTTCCTGGAAAAGTTTCTGCTCAATTTGCCAGTATACTTGCTTGGAATGGCTTACTATTTTCCTTGGTAGCTTCTATGAACTAAATAGCTTCGATTGTCTTCTAAAATAGCATTGGAAGGAATCTTTTCATTCTAAGCTACTATATATATATATATATATATATATGTATGTATAAATATAAAAGGAATCTTTGCTTGGATTAATGGCTAACTTTGACTAACTGCTTTAGGTATTGACCAAATGAAATTCAAACTTTTATGCGATTATGGAGTTAAGGAGAAAATAAACGAAGTCTTGTTTGCAAGGAACAGAAGAAATCAATTATTTTTAAATATTTTTTGGCATAAAAATATTAGAAAGGAATGTCGTACTCACCTTTACAGCAAACAAATCAACGAATCCTTGCTTTGTTCTTTGGCGCATCTGGGTGGAAGATAGCTTGATGGAATCAATTTCCAGGTCTGGGATATGAATGATCTTTGACCATTCTGTAGCTCCTGCACCCTCTTTTTGGCATGCTTCTATCAATAGGGGACACCCATGAATCTTCAAATGTTTCAGAGAGGGAGGAAGCCCCTCCTCTGGAAAGCACTGGATCAAGGGACAATCCTCCATATACAGGTCCTTGAGTAAAAGGAGGCTCTTTAAGGTCTCTTTGGCACCTAGAGACTTTAGAAGGGGGCATGAGCCAATCATCAGACACTCAAGTGCTGTTGGTAAACCTTCATCTGGCAATGATTCAAGCATTGGACAGCCTTGAATTGAGAGCAGTTGGAGAGAGGACAGGCTTTGCAAGGATTCTTTTGCTTCAGACAGAGATGTGAGGGATTTGCAATCACTGATGTACAAAGCCTTAAGACCCAGCAGATGGGGCAGTTTTGGGAAAAAGATTAGGTCAGAGATGTTTGAAATGACAAGGGAGTGGAGAGAATTGGTATTTGGTGTTGCCCTCACTAGTGTTAGACAAGAACATGTGTCTAGAGCTAAATACTGAAGACGCTGGGCGAACTGTGGGACAGGAAAGACACTTACGAGTTCACATCCACTTATCTCCAGTTTTTGTGGAGCACATAGTTGAGGCAGTAAATGGATCTTGGGGCAGTTTACCAACTTCAATTCCAAAGGACCAGCGAAAACAGGACTGGATTGGTCAACAAGGTTGCCTTGATCATATTGGGCGATGCACTGTCCTCCGTGCCAATCCTCAAGAACAAGGTTGTTAATAAGTATTAAAAACAACAGAGAGGGAGCCACTGGAAGAGCCTTCAATGAGTCGCACTTCTTTACCTTGAGAAATCTTAAATGGGACATGAAGTTCGGTACCTTCCTCAGCTTGGGGCAGTTTATAATATGCAACGTACACAATGAAGTGTATTGATCTGGCCATTCCCCAAGTTTCTGCATCCCTTTGATGTAAAGCTCTCTAAGGCAAGGTAACTGACCAAGAGACAATATTTTGCACTTAGTACAATCATATAAGGAAAGTGTAACCAAATTTTGGAGCAGACCATCTGTTATCCAAGAAGGAAATTTCGAGTTGATCAAGGATCCAGCAGCGTCAATGATATTACTCACTAGAGGCTGCACAAAAATTGAAGCTGGATCACCCATAACTCTTGATAGCGCATTAATCAGAACCCTTCAAAACAGAAAAAGTATTGGTCAATATGGTTTGCTTCATTCATTATCTTCTGTATGGAAATATAACACAAGAACTCACCAGCAAGAAAAAATGTTTAAGACAACCTAGGAACTCAGTTGAACAGGATGATATATCATTCAGTATCTTGTTCTGGCTATATATAGAAAAATTCAGGAACTGCAGAGACCCTAGAATGGTAGGTGGTTTACTACGAAATTTCCACCTCCTTGCACAAGTTGAGTATCTCTCACGGTACTGATGATGCATGGACCAAGTAAAATAAATTATTTACATATGATAAATTTGACATCAAAGGTACCATTATATCCTATTGACTCTAAACTAGCCTTTTCTTCTATTGGTAGGCAGATGGTGCAATATTGCAAGCTATCCTGACTGATTGGCGATTGCCTCCATTTGTTAATATTTTTCTTGCGGTTCAAGAAACTTTATCACCTTCCACAATTCTAAATGAGTTGAATGCTTCAGTGAATTTCCCAGAAAATATCTGGACAAAGTGCTGGGAAAAGAAAGTAATTTCAAAGTTTTGCCAAAAGTTCTTAGGATCAGACAAAATCTGATGATAATGATGGCTTCCAGATATGTTTTATCCATGCCTCTTTTATAATATTATGCACAGCATCTAATTATTTGCAGAGGATTCATTTGTTTTCTTCGGTAACTATTGTGCTTTTGTGATGGATGTTTCCACCCTTTTTTCTCTCACAAGTCTAACTTTGAATAGTGAATGATAAATACTCAGTAAAGGATTACTTCTGAGAACTTTTCACCTTTGAATGAAAAGTCAAGATCATTCGATACAATCTTTCAGACAAAACTCATGACTTCATTAAAGTCCAGTCTTCGCGCGTCCTAAACTGTAAATTTTTCTACGAATTGACAACGATAAAGGCTGACAAGACAAAAAGACAAGTATCTTTCGTGGCAACTTCTTATATGTTGCAGCTTCTCCTCTGTGTTTCTTCCCACGTTTTAAGTCCCTTTGACATTGTTTTTTATATTTAAGCGTGTGGACATCTTTGCTTTTGTTGTGAACATAACCATGGATTTGAAGAGAAAGGCAGGAGCAACTGACACCAATGAGGTCTTCCCTCAGCACAAGATGAAGGTGTGTTTCCCTCTCCCTCTCTTGTTTCCTAAATTAGTACTTGCCAAAAAGTTTAATTGAACAAAGTCTGTGGATAATTTAATGCGTGAAACTGAGAAGAAAGATTTTTTTTTTTATTTTCTGTTCCAACTCATCATGCAGAAAGCTTGGGAGGATGCAAAGTCTGGTCACAAATGCTTCGTGCTGTATGCCAGGTCACTCCACATCATTTGGAGTGACCATGAATACTGGATGTGGGAAAGTTTTAAAGAAACAAGGTGAGATTCAGAGCATATTTTCAGGGGAATCATTGTTTTTGGCATTTGTCAATTGCCATGTGGTCATGCTTGTTATCTGTTTCGTGATATGCAGTGATGAGAAAATTGAAGTAGCCAGACTAAGAACTGTTTGTTGGCTGGAAGTGAAAGGAAAATTCAAAATATTAGACCTTTCGCCGGGAACTGTATATGAAGTTGTGTACGTAGTCATGTTAACGAAAGAGGCATCCGGTTGGGAACTTCCTGTGAAGCTTAAATTATCTCTCCCTGATGGAAAAGTTCAGGAGCGTCAAGTTAGTCTCTTGCAGAAGCCTAGAGGGCAATGGATGGAGCTCGGTCTTGGCCATTTCTGCACAGGGGAGAATGGTGAAACAGGTGAAGTTTGCTTTGATCTCTACGAAATTGGGGGCCACTGGAAAAGTGGACTTGTAATAAAGGGTGCCATTCTAAGGCCGATAAACTGAATCGCTTGGTGTTTGGATAGGGTCATCATTTTAAAAATTGCGGTCATTATATCATTTGATAAGTACTTAATGATTTTATGTCATAATAATTTTAGATAAATTATCGAGAGTGATAAAATTATTATCTTATAAAGTAATTTAATTCTCATATAAAAAGATAAAAAAAATTTATCATCGAGTGATATAAAAATTAATAACAATTAATTTTATTCATGTAATATGTGAATTAAAATCTTATTGTATCTTAAAATTATAATTATTTTATATTCTAAATTTTTATATTTTCAAACTCATATACATTATAACAAATTCAAAATAATTTATATATAATTTTTTTACTTTTTTAATATTTTATATCTAATATAATTTTTTATTTTTATTTTATTATAAATTTAATATATTGGTTTCATTTTCTAATTTAAATATTTTTTTCATAATTTATATTATAAAAATAAATTTACCTACCAATAAATGTATTTATTAATTTAATAATTTATTTATATTTTATTATAAAATAAATATTATTAATATTTTACAAATTATTATCTTAAACAACCTTAAAATTATTAATTTATATAACTATTATAATATGTATGAATATTTTCTTATTTTTAAATAAAATAATATTTAATTTTTAATAATATCAAACATTGTAATCTTTAATTTCTAAGAATTAATCATTATCAATTAAACAAAGTGATTTTAAATTACGAGTATTAAGATCACTTTGATAGATAAATCATCTCGATAATTACTTTACTACGATAATCTTTCAAAAAAATATTAAATTGTATCTAACGTTATATTTGGATACATATAAATAAAGGAAATGAAAGGAAATGAAATAAAAAATTTTTAAAAGAAAAGAAAGGATACATGTATCTTTTGTTTGGATATTTAAAATTAATAAAAGAAAGGAAAGGAAATGAATTCTAATAACCATTGTTTAGATAAATAGTAAAAAGAAAAGGAAATAATTCATTACAATATTTTTTTTTAATTATAATCTTTTTTTTTATAAAATAACATATAATATATAAATATATCTTTATACTACTTATCTCATATAAATAATTTTTTTTAAACAAAATTAAGTATGTTTAATACAATAAGAAGTATTAACTTATTTTTTATTTACTTTTAATTTTGTGTTTAATTTAACGTTTTAATTTATTCTGACAATAATTAATAATTTGTTTTGTTTTGTAGTTAAAACTTAAAAAATCATAAAACATTTATAAAATATGATGTTATACAAAATACTAATAAAAAAATATTTTTATAGAAATTATCAGTTATATAATCAAATCTAATGTTATAATAAAAATATGAATATAATAATTTTTTTATAAAAATAAAAATTTTTTCAACTTTTCTTTCTTTAGTTTTTTTCCTAAATTAGAGTATTAAAAAAAATGATGATTATAAAAAAAATCAAAAGTTATTAAATTTCTTCTTTTTTTCTTTTTTTTAATTAAAAATTTATCTAAGTAAAAAAATTTTGTTTCATTATTTTCCTTTATTTTTCTTTTCTTTCCTTCTCCTCCCCTCAATTCAAACATGTTATAAAGGAATACAAAGGAAAGAAAATATGCAGGAACCTTGCTGCATAATAAAAAGAAAAAGAAAATTCCTGTTCTATTCAGCATGTTGCAGCTTTTAACTACTTTTCATACTTTCAGTTCATGCTTGTTGCAGCTGTCGTGTTTTTTCTTTTGGATGATTTCTTTCAACTGGATTACCTAAAAGGTACTTTCTCTGTGTAAAGACCTGAGGTGTCATTCACATATATTATTCTAGACCAAAATCTTTTAACTTGATGTTAAAATGCATCATACACAAAGTATAATAAGAGAAAATATTAGTATACAAAATCAAATTGGTTCAATTCAAGTTACAATTCCTGCTCAACATTAAGAGTACCTTTTTTTTTTTTTTAATTAGACATTATAAGTACTTTTAAATAGATGAAAGTAGTATTTTACCTTTTCCTGCCTGACCCATGGCCCTAGTTCAACAATCCACCCACAGAGAACTCATGTAAGTAAACAACAACGAACCGCTCAAGTATAACACTAACAACACTTATGAGACAGAATAAGCTAAACACCACCTGCCTTCACATGCACTTTATGTGCACAATGTCAGCAGTCCCCTTCACATGTTCAAAACCAGGAGTGTCACTGAATTATGTAAGCTCACTCTACCACTGACAAAGTATTACACAATCTCCATTATACGGTAACAAGCTATATGTGTGACACACACAAAGACAGCAATATTCGATTCAACCAACTGATCTACTGTTAATCAATCTCATAGTCATTAAACCAAATAAATATAAGCCATTACAATAGCAGGACATATATGATTTCAAAAAATATGAAAATCCTGCCAAAGAAAATCCAGGCAATTCCTCCTGTACGGCAAGCACTTGCACAGTTGCACTGGTAGGCGAGTAATACACTTTTGAAAGACAAAATACATGCAATACTACCCAAAACACAAACCAGTCATTAACAACACCCAGTTTCAGATTTTTTTTGGAAAGGCAATAGAATTTCATTACGAGATTTAACCCAGAAATTAAAAAAAATTCCCAAGAGTAGGAGATCCCAAAGACACCAAGAACACCCAATTTCAGATTAAAATCTGTCAAGAAATCCCAGTAAAGTTTGTATCAAAACTATCGTCCACCTGGTCAGGCCCCAGAATTCACATGAAAGACTACTCTGTGACTCTGATGAAAGGATGACAAAGCACCTGCGCTCTCTCTCTCTCTCTCTCTCTCTCTCTCTCTCTAGTAGGATTTGATCACTTCAGCTCCACCCCATCCTGCTACACTTATTAGTTCATTTCACTAACACAGTATGCATTACCCTGAAGTCAACTTTGAGTTTGTTTTTTACAGTACGGGCAAGGGGTAATACAAAAATGTAGCTCTAATGAATTTTGACTCCCTTGCTAGCATAGAGTGAACATAAAAAAAAGTAGAAATGCTCACATAAAAACAAAATGTAATTAACTAAGTGTTGAAGTACATGGTTGCATTCGACATAGAAAGAAATAAAAGAAGGAACACCATATCTATTGTCAGCCCCTTCTAGTATGAGTTGAGGCACTTCAGGTGATGCAAATAAGGATATGTGTTCTACAATTCAACACAGGGACACATGCGCTGAGAATATTGAGAAGTAGAATTGACTGATCAATTTAAGAACTTCACAAATTGAGAAGCCACTCCCAAATTCAGGAATCAACTCAAAAAATGGTAGATTTCTACTTAAGCCCATACACCAAAGAATGCATCAAAAGATTCCACAACTGAAATACTAAACTTCTTGTGCAGAAAGCAAAAAAATTTTACAGGACTTAGCATTTTTAATGATGCAAGACTAACCAAAATCAAATAAAGTACAATACGTGAAACTAGTTCTTTGGTAAGTTCTTCCCAACAATCTTAGCCGGAGTTATACGTAGCAGATTTCCTGGCTTACCGGGGACGGCACCTTTGATCATCACAACTCGAAGCACATTGTCAATTTTCACAATCTTGAGCTTTTCGATCTTTCTTTTGCTTCCTCCCATGCTGCCAGGCATTCTTCCCCTAGTGTACACGGCCAGGTTTTGTTCCAGCACCAATAGACCCCAACGCTCTATGACTCTTGGAACCATGGGTCATTTGACCTCTTTTAAAATAATGGCACTTTATTCCACCTGCGTAAAAATTAGGGGAAAAAATTATGTTACGTATTAAATTCCACCACTGGGGAATTTGAATTGCCATAACAACAAGACCCACATTCGGAAAAGGACGTTCAAAACCTTTAAAGAAAGCCAGCATTTCGTACTAAAATGCTAGAAACAATATAAAATGAGCCAAATAATATAATTAGAACAGAAGATACCGACCAACATATATAAGGAGCTTATATATATTTATATATCATCAAGAAAAGAGAACAAAAGATACACCCACTCAGAACTTTTCCATTTGATCAACATGAAATTGTAAGTTTATGAAACCAGCAGATATTCATGATGAAGCTATGATTAACAAAAAAAAAAAAAAAAATCACTTCAAATTGCATATAACCATAATATGTTCTCAATTGGATAGTGTGACAAAGGTTTTTAAGATGATGCCACAAAGGGATGTCGTTTCATGGAATACAGTAATTGCAGGGAATGCACAAATGGAATGTATGAAGAAGCTTTGAGGATGGTTAGGGAGATGGGGAATGCCAACGTGAAACCTGATTCATTTACTTTGTCGAGCGTACTTCCTATATTTGCGGAGTATTTGGATATCATGAAAGGAAAGGAGATTCATGGATATGCTATTAGACATAGGTTTGATTCTGATTTGTATATAGGTAGTAGTTTGATTGAAATGTATGCCAAATGTGCTCAGATTGAAGATTCATGCCATGTATTTAATCTGTTGCCTCAAAGAGATGATATTTCTTGGAATTCGATTATTGCAGGGTGTGTACAGAATGGTATGTTTGATGAAGGTCTGAAGTTATTTCGTCGAATGTTAATGGCTAAAGTAACACCAAGAGAAGTTTCATTTTCTAGTATTATGCCGGCTTGTGCTTACTTGACAACACTGCATTTAGGAAAGCAACTTCATGGTTACATAATTCGGGGTAGATTTGATGGTAATGTGTTTATAGCCAGCTCACTTGTTGATATGCATGCCAAATGTGGAAACATCAACGCCAGCTAGGTGGATTTTTGATCAAATGGAACACCATGACATGGTTTCATGGAAAGCGATAATCATGGGACATGCTTTTCATGGACATGCCTATGATGCCCTTTCATTATTCGAGCAGATGGAAAAGGATGGGGTGAAACCTAACTATGTATCTTTTATAGCTGTCTTTACTGCTTGTAGTCATGCTGGATTGACAGATGAAGCTTGGATGCATTTCAAAAGTATGAGCCAGAATCATGGTATTACACCTGGCTTGGAACGCTATGCTGCTATAGCAGACCTTGGTCGTGCAGGAAAGTTGAAGGTAGCTTATGAATTCATCTCTAGCATGCATATTGCACCTATAGGCAGTATTTGGTCAACGCTACTATCTGCTTGTAGAGTCCAGAATAACCTTGAGTTGGCTGAAAAGGTTGCCAATGAAATATTTAAAGTTGATCCAGAGAATGTGGGAGCTCATATTCTGATGTCAAATATGTATGCAGCTGCTTGTAGATGGAAAGATGCAGCAAAGATGAGAATCTTTATGAAGAAAAAAGGCATAAGAAAGGAACCAGCTTGCAGTTGGATAGAAGTTAAAAACAGGGTTCAGACTTTCATTTCAGGAGATAAATCACATCCTCTTTATGACAGAATATTTAAGGCATTGAAAGATCTTATGGAGAGGATTGAACGAGAAGGGTATATTCCTGACACAAATGAGGTTTTCCATGATGTTGAGGAGGAGCAGAAGAAATACTTGCTATTTAGCCATAGTGAGAGATTAGCTTTAGCTTTTGGCATCATTAGCACTCCTGCTGGGACAACAATTCGAATAACCAAGAACATTCGTGTTTGTGTGGACTGCCACACAGCTATAAAGTTCCTGTCAAAGATTACTCAAAGAGAGATAATCGTGAGGGATAATAGCAGATTTCACCATTTCAAAGACGGAGAGTGTTCATGCAGAGATTATTGGTAACAGGCCGAAAATGAAATGATGTTGAGATCCAAACCATTGATCATCTACAAGCTGAGGGATCAATATGATATGCTGTTTTCACTCTTTGAGCATGGGAGAAAATTGCCATGAGAATCTATGTGGTAAGAATTCATGAGCTTCACCCCAGAGAACTTCATGAAAGCTAAGTTCTTTTGAAGTGCATTTTTCTGGAGCCTCTCTCCTCCTTATCTCCATCAGACTGTTGTAGGAATAATTGCATGCTAACTTTGTATGATTATTTTATTTAAAACATTTATGTACATATTACATTGAAACTCACTTTGGAAGAGTTTTACCAATAATGTTTTTCCTCCATGTGAAATGCTAGCTGATAAAGAAATTTGTTCTCATCATTGGCAGAATGGCAGTTGTTGATCATGATTCATGACCTTGATTTGAAATCCTATCTATCCTTCTGTTGCCTTCGGACAAGTATGGTTTATTGTTGCATCCTTGAATCTTGAAAGCAATTCCTTGAATTGCCATTAACTTTACAGCCCTGCAAAACACATACATGCATCGGTTGGTCCATCTTTATGCTTAAAGCAATTAATTTTTTTTCTTCAGACTTCACTTAACATCTAACCTTGGAAAGAAGTTAAAGCTTTATGTTGAGGCAATTACTATTGGTTTAAAAATTAAAATACTAACAAGCTTTTATCCTTTAGACTAGAGAATCTGCTTTTCTTATTTAAGCTACATTAAGAAGTAATGCTTTAAGCTAACAAAGAATATGAACTTTTATATTCTCAGATCCTTACCTTTCTTTTCTCTTAAAAGAACTTATATTTATAACAAAATAAACAAGAATAATTAGCAAAGGAAGAATAAGTTTGTAAATGGTTTTTTACTGTTTATTTGTTTAAGTTCAAAATATGAGCAAGGACTAAAAAAGTACTCACCTTTACTCAAAATAATAGAGGAATCTATGACTTCTTCTTTTGCAAATCAGCAGCTGAAGGTAACTTGATTGAATCAAATACCTGGTCTCTAACATGCATGATCTTTGGCCGAGAGAGGTAGGTAGCCCATCCTCAGTAAAGGACTGGGACAATCATCGAAATATAAGACCTTGAGTAAAGAGGCTCTTTAAGGTCTCTTTGGCATCTGAAAACTTTAGAATGGGGCATGAGGAAATCACCAGACCGTCAATAGCTGTTGGCAGTCCTTCATCTGTCAGTGACCCAAGCTTTGAACAGCCTCGGATAGAGAGCATTTTGAGAGAGGACAAGTTCTTCCATGACCCTATTTCTACAGACAAAGAAGTGAGGTCTTTGCAGTCACTGATATGAACCCCTAAACATAGCTCAACATAACATTGTAAGCCTAATCTATCAACAAGCATTCATGATGATTCCAATTTCCCACAACAAGAAGAACAATGTCTACAGGCATCCTTTGTAGAAATAGCTCTCTCTCTCTCTCTCTGCATGATTAGATAATCATCCACATGCCATTGATGTGTGTTAATTTAATGTTAGCAAGGTTAGAAGTATATAAAGTTCATATTGAACTTTTGTCTTATAGTGTGGTACTTGGGTAATGAGTTAACACTATTTGTCCGTCCTATTTTGCATACTTAGTTTTGAATGCATGCAACTACACCTGTGACTTTGTTTCCTAGAAAGTTTCTGCTCAATTTGCCAGTATGCTTGCTTGGAATGGCTTACTATTTTCCTTGGTAGCTTCTATGAACTAAATAGCTTGGATTGTCTTCTAAAATAGCATTGGAAGGAATCTTTTCATTCCAAGCTACTATATATATGTATACATATAAAAGGAATCTTTGCTTGGATTAATGACCAACTTTGACTAACTACTTTAGGTATTGACCAAATGAAATTCAAACTTTTATGCGATTATGGAACGAAGGAGAAAATAAACGAAGTCTTGTTTGCAAGGAACAGAAGAAATCAATTATTTTTAAATATTTTTTGGCATAAAAATATTAGAAAGGAATGTCGTACTCACCTTTACAGCAAACAAATCAACGAATCCTTCTTTTGTTCTTTGGCGCATCTGGGTGGAAGATAGCTTGATGGAATCAATTCCAGGTCTGGGACATGAATGATCTTTGACCATTCTGTAGCTCCTGCACCCTCTTTTTGGCATTCTTCTATCAGTAGGGGACACCCATGAATCTTCAAATGTTGCAGAGAGGGAGGAAGCCCCTCCTCTGGAAAGCACTGGATCAAGGGACAATCCTCCATATACAGGTCCTTGAGTAAAAGGAGGCTCTTTAAGGTCTCTTTGGCACCTAGAGACTTTAGAAGGAGGCATGAGCCAATCATCAGACACTCAAGTGCTTGTTGGTAAACCTTCATCTGGCAATGATTCAAGCATTGGACAGCCTTGAATTGAGACCAGTTGGAGAGAGGACAGGCTTTGCAAGGATTCTTTTGCTTCTGACAGAGATGTGAGGGATTTGCAATCACTGATGTATAAAGCCTTAAGACCCAGAAGATGGGGCAGTTTTGGGAAAAAGATTAGGTCAGAGATGTTTGAAATGACAAGGGAGTGGAGAGAATTGGTATTTGGTATTGCCTTCACTAGTGTTAGACTAGAACATGTGTCTAGAGCCAAATACTGAAGACGCTGGGCGAACTGTGGGACAGGAAAGACACTTACGAGTTCACATCCACTTATCTCCAGTTTTTGTGGAGCACATTGTTGAGGCAATCACCAGACCCCCAATTGCTGTTGGCAGTCCTTCATCTGTCAATGATTCAAGCATTGAACAGCCTCGGATATAGAGTATTTTGAGAGAGGACAAGCTCTACAGACAAAGAAGTGAGGCCTTTGCAGTCACTGATATGAACCCCTAAACATAGCTCAATATAACATTGTAAGCCTAATCTCTCAACAAGTATTCATGATGATTCCAGTTTCCCACAACACAAGAACAATGTATACAGGCATCCTCTGTAGCAACAGCTTTCTTTCTCTCTCTCTCCCTCTCTCTCTCTCTCTCTCTCTCTCTCTCTGCATGATTAGATGATCGTCCACATACCATTGATGTGAGTTAGTTTAATCTTATAGTGTGGTGGAGCTTACTTGGGTAATGAGTTAACACTATTTGTCCGTCATTTTTCTCCTCATAGATAAACCTATTTTGCATACTTAGTTTTGAATGCATGCAACTACACCTGTGAGTTTGTTTCCTAGAAAGTTTCTTCTCAATTTGACAGTATACTTGCTTGGAATGGCTTATTATTTTCCTTAGTAACTTCTATGAACTAAATAGCTTGGATTGTCTTCTAAAATAGCATTGGAAGGAATCTTTTCTTTCTAAGCTACTATGTATATGTATACATATAAAAGGAATCTTTGCTTGGATTAATGGCCAACTTTGACTAACTGCTTTAGGTATTGACCAAATGAAATTCAAACTTTTATGCGATTATGGAGCAAAGGAGAAAATAATAAACTAAGTCTTGTTTGCAAGGAACAGAAGAAATCAATTATTTTTAAATATTTTTTGGCGTAAAAATATTAGAAAAGAATATAGTACTCACCTTTACAGCAAACAAATCAACGAATCCTTCTTTTGTTCTTTGGCGCATCTGGGTGGAAGATAGCTTGATGGAATCAATTCCAGGTCTGGGACATGAATGATCTTTGACCATTCTGTAGCTCCTGCACCCTCTTTTTGGCATTCTTCTATCAGTAGGGGACACCCATGAATCTTCAAATGTCGCAGAGAGGGAGGAAGCCCCTCCTCAGGAAAGCACTGGATCAAGGGACAATCCTCCATATGCAACTCCTTGACTGAAAGGAAGCTCTTTAAAGAGGGATATTGGATTTTTTTAGAATTTTAAGGTTTCTCAATTATAAGTTAAATTTTATTATTTAATAATTAACATTATTTTTTTAACATTAAAAGAAATTATTTACTTACATTCGAAAGACAACTTTTTTTGTAAATTTTGTTTTTGCTTGAAATTATTCGACTTGTCTGCTTTATAAAGGAAAGAGAGAAGAAATAAACTGTTTTTTTTCTCGATCAATTGTCTGGCCAAAAAAGTGGTAGATGCTATTTTTATTAAAAATTGGGTTATTTATCAATAGGTCTTATGTATTTTTTATTTTTTATTAAAAAATCCCTCCACTTATAAAAATATTTAAAATAATCTTTTTGTTTTTACGGGTATTATATTTTTCCTAACTTATAAAAAGTTTCATCTTCGAAACTTAATTAACCTTCATTTTCGAATAGCTGAGGATGTCTTTTTTTCATATCATTTTTCATTTCCCAAGATGCTTCTCTTGGTGTATGATTGTTGCATTGAACTTTTATAAAGAAAATAGTTATGTGCCTCAAGACCTATTATTTCCGATCAACTATTCAAATAGGATATTTCAAGTAAGTTAAATCCTCGTGAACTTTTAAAGATTCATACTCTACCACATGGCTTGGGTCAGAAATATATTTTCTTAACATTGACACATGAAACACATTGTGCATACCAGATAGCTGAGGTAGCAAGACTATTCTATATGCAACTTTTCTCACCTTATCAAGAATTTCAAATGGTCCTATATAACATGGGCTTAACTTTCCTCACTTCTCAGACCGCATAACACCTTTGGTGGGTGACACCTTTAAAAAACATAATCCCATTGTTGAAATTCCAACTCTCATTTTTTATTGTCTACCCAACTCTTTTGACAATCTTATGCTTACTTTAAGTCTTTCCCTAATCACCTTGATCTTTTCCATAGTCAGTTGCACTATTTTTGGTCCCATAAGTTTTCTCTCTCTAACATCATCCCAACATAAAGGGAATCTACATTTCTTACCATATAAGGCTTCAAAAAGAGCCATCCCAATGCTGGATTGATAACGTTATTATAAGCAAACTCTGCTAAAGGTAAGTAATCATCCTAACTACATTTTAGATCAATCACACATGCTTAAAGCATATCTTCCAAAATCTAATTCGTTTCTTTTGTTTGCCCAACTGTTTAAAGGTGAAATGCTGCACTTAATTTCAAATTTGTCCCCATAGTTCATTGTAAGCTTGCCCAAAATTTAAAGACAAATCTAGAATCTCTATTTGACACAATATTTGCTAAAACTCCATGCAATTGGACAATTTCGTCCATATACAATTGTGCTAGTTTATCAAGTGGAGTAGTCGACTTGATAAGTAGAAAATTGATTTAGTGAGTCTATCAACAACTACCCACATTGCATTATTCCCTTTCGATGACCTAGGTAAACCCATTATAAAATCCATAGAAATGTGCTCCCAGTTCTATTCTAGTATCTCCAAAGGTTGCAACAACCGTGACGGTTTTTGGTGTTTAGCCTTAACTTGCTGACACATTAGATATTAGGACACAAACTGAGCAATTTCTTGTTCCATGTTATTTCACCAAAAAAAAATTTTTAAATCCTTATACAACTTAGTGTCTCCAGGATGTATAATGAATCAAGACCTATGTACTTCGTCCAAGATCTCTAGTTTCAGCTTAAAATCATTTGGTACACACAACATGTTCCCAAAGCGTAATGTGTCATCCTCGTGAAGCTTAAACTCTAGCCACAAACCATTCCTTAATGAAATAAAATTTATCAGCCATTTGATCCATAAATTTAAGAAATAAAAGTTTCCCATTTGATCCATAAATTTAAGAAATAAAAGTTTCTTCTTACTTGTTCTTATCCCAATAAGTTTGAGATTTAAATCTACTTCCATGCAAAACTTCAAAATGAATCATTGAATGTTTGTTTTATGACTATTGTAATAAAAAGTTTCACTTTAAGTCATGACTTAGGTATTGTTTAGAACAATGTCTACCATCAATAAAACCTCCAAAACTAAAAGGAGCACAAAATATTCTTACCCAAAATATTGATACCCAAAATCCATTAATTTTTATTTATTAAAAATTTATCACTTTCTCGACCAATAATGGCCTAAAAATTTATAACTTAAACCAAATCAAGCTTTCGCTGCATACTTTGATATTTCCCTCCAATAAAACTCTGAAATAACAAATTAACTTTCATAATATTGTTTCATGACAAAAAAAAATGTATGTCTACAAAATTTCATGTAATTTGCTTTACGCCAGGTATTCATAACTATATATAACTTTAACAATTGAATAATAATATTAACAAATCTTTTAGTCACCAAAAAGATATCATATAGTACTTCAATTTTTTTTCTTCTTCACTGACAATATGAAATTTTCTATCAATTAACCGTTATAAAACATATGAAATCGATGTAATAAATCATATCCATAAATTTATACTATACAAATTTAAACATAAATCTTTCGTTACCCAAGTTATCTCCAATTTTGAATATTATTTTTTCTAATTTAATAGACCAATTATCATATAACAACTGATTCTCCACAATTTTCACCAATATCATAATGTCTCAAAAAAAAATTTTTTACCAAATATATTGCTATCAAGTTTGAGTCCAAGTTAAAACCTATGTATCATAACACATAAATAAAATTCTCTTATAAAATTCAAATAATAAAACCACCAAATACATTCATGCCGAAAGTATAGTTATAAATAATAACTAAATGCATCACGTTATTTAAGAAATTTTTTCAAATTTCTCTAAAATCAAGTACATGCTCAGCATAATTAAGTACACAAAATCATCACTAATTATTAAGAGTTGATCATAAAATGAACAATCATTTGCACTTGTAAGATTTCAAACAATCATTACCCAAAACATATATATTTTTCTGTAAATTGATTACTCATTCAAAATCAACTTCTTTACTAAATCATCTAGATAACCACAACTTTAATTTTTATCCTCGAATTTAATTCCTTGCTAAGTACACAGTCTTGTACCATAATAGGCAATGTTTACCATAAATATAAAATTCAAAAAAATTCTAATATTATACTTCAATTATAAACTATAACCATAAATAATCACTTTGACAATTGAGCAAATTCTTTAAACTCCAAATAGGAACTTCAAATTAATTATACAAACATCTAACTCATGTGATCAAATCTTAAATACTTTTTCAATAAAAATGTAGAACCAAATCAAGTGTATATCCTTCTTTATGTATATAAAACTATTTACCACAATTATAATATTTCGGACTAAACCCATCAAAATAAATTCTCAAACATTATAATTCATAAATAATTACTTCAAAATTTCAAAATATCATTTCATTCTAACTCCAATATTTTATATTTTTAATTCCAATGATACACAGCCTTAGTTCAATCTTAGTCTATGATTAAAGGATTCACTTAACACTCAACAAATAACTTCAAAATCTAGTTAAATCAAATGTCTTTTTCTCTAACCCATAGGGTCTCCAATGATCAAATCGTTCTCTTAAATAATCTTTTAGCTCGTAAGATATGTCTCAGAATAAGTTGTATCAAAAATTTTTTTAACTTATAAAATCGCACTTTATCAAAATAATTAAACTTTCTATACTAAAAAATCTCAAAAGCAATATGTAATTATTAACCAAAATAATTACTCAATGAATTCATTGAATCATTGATTCTTCAATATTCATTGAAACTTTAATTAGTTCAAAAATTTATCAAATCATTCACTCATACTCACGAATATAGACTATAGATCAAACTTAAGCCCTTAAAAAATCATCACATAATCCAAAGATTATCATCTAAGTCTTTAAATATCTCCACATAGTATATGGATCATAAGTTATGATCTTAGAAAGTCTCTTTTATTCTAAGAATTATAACTTTCATTCTTATAAAATCATCATTAATTTAATTATCATAATTTAACCTCTTAGAAAATCTCTAAAAAATCATAATCGTAGTTTTTAGAAAATCCTCAAAATCATAATATAAACTCTTTAACATCTCATATAGTTTAAAGATCATAATTGAAATTCTTAGAAAATCTCCAAGAAAAATAACCTAGGCTTTTTAAAAATCTCATCATAATCTAAAGATTATAATTTGACTCTTAGAAATTTTTCAAAAATCACAAACCTGGCTCTGATACCACTTTATGTCATATCCCGAGATCGGGACACAAGATCGAGACATAACACAACTATATTACCTTGAAGTAAAACCCCAAAGTAATATGAAGTTATCTTTTTTTTTCATTCTAAAATTCTTCAATAAAATAATCTATTCAAGAAAAATCGTAACTTTAATTCATGAGAAATCTTCGTATTCCTAAATGCAAACTAATAAAAATACTAAGCCACTTCATAAGAGCTTATTAGCCAACAATGTCTCTAATGTCCGAGTAATATTTCCTATCTGATCTTCTAACTTCTCACATAATTAAGCAAACTTATTACCTATTCATCTATAAAGAAAAAATAAAAAGAGAATGAGCAAATCATAGCTCAGCAAGTATAGGCTCACATATCTTATCGGATCAAGCATCTTTTTCATACATATCATATATATCAATCAAAACATTCGTTAAATCATAATGTCAAAACATTTCAAAGATTATCATTCTATCAAGTATTTTATAAATTCATAAATCAATGTCAAAACATATTAATTTATAAATCATTACAAAATATGCTAAATTCAATTATCGTAATCAAACCAAATCATGGATCAATCTTTAAATAATTACAAATCATTAATTCATCGTTAGCTACGATTACTATTATAACTCGTAACATTGACCTTATCGATAATTTTATCATCATGATCATCGCTATCTATTATAACCCGCTAGCCATGGCCTAATGCTAACTACTATAACCCGTTAGCCAAAGCCATATGATCATATACATGCTAACTGTTATAAGTCATTAGTCAGGGCCGTAGAATTAGTTCTAGCGTCGATGATCTCACTTTTTAGGTATGTAAAAACGTAGCTATCATAAAATCGTTCCTTAAACATAAATTATTTTCTCATTTCATTCATAAGCATGATCCATCATTTACATAGCAAAAACACAAAATAATCATATGCTTGATCATATTTTCATATATCAAAAATAATGAAATAAAACATTTACTCATTTAGAAACATACATATATACATATGTTCAAAACAAACAAAGTGTGTGATATTCTACTTACCTATTTTCGATTCCATCATTTAGTTATTTTTTTTCCAAAATAATGAATGGCTTATACAAGATCATTTCAACATATTAGAAATTAATCAGCTCTCTTTTAGACCATATATACTAAAACAACTGAGTTATACAAAAGTTAACTCAATTAACTAATTTTGGCAGCCTAACCACCTTTCATTAAAATGACCATATCTCAAAATATTCGAATCAGAATTAAGATTTTTTAATGATTAGAAACTAAACTCGATAAGCTTTCTAACCATATATGGTCCATATAATGATTCCTTGTAGATTAATTATAATAATTTTTTAAATCCACATCATATGCTGCTATCAGATAGCATGTATACCTTCTAATAAAAATTACACATTTATTCATAGGAAACTCCAAATTCACTTCTATTTTTTTGTTGCAAAGTAGACTCAATAAGCTTTCCAAACACATATGGCTTAATCTGTAATTCCTTGTATAAAAATTAAAAGAAATTTTGTAATTCCTCCCTACTGCTATCATTAGGTAACATGTACATCCTTAAGTAAAAATTAAACTACTATTTATAGAAAACTCATAATTGAATTCCGTTTATTTTATTGGATACTAAATTCAACAAGCTTTCCAACGGTATATAATAATCATAGCAATATTTATCTCTTAATACAAAATATTATCTTAATCCACTATTGCAAACTCCAAGATTCATACGAAATCGAAAATTTTCTTTCTAGCACTATCAAATTTTTTTTTCCTATTTTTATAACAATAAAATCACATTACTAAACTTTTTCAACACTTTATTAGACACTGATTAAAGTCTAAATGATTAGATCAAACCAATCTTTAAAGAGAAATACTGGATTTCCTAAAATTTTAAGGTTTCTCGATTACAAGTTAAACCTCAAGACTTAGCAATCAATATTATTTCTCCAAAATTGAAGAAAAGTATTTACTCACCTTTAAAAGACAACTTTCCTTATAAATTTTGTTCTTATCATTTGCTTGAAATTCTTCAAGTTATATGTTCTTTATAAGAAAGAGAGGAGAAATAAGTCCTTTGTTTTTTCTTGATTAATTATCGGTCAAACAAGTGATAAATATTAACCCTATTAAAAATTGAATTATTTATCAATAAATCCTATGCATTTTATATTCTTTATTAAGGAATCCCTCCACTTATAAAAATACTTAAAATAGTTTTTTTTTTTTACGGGTATTACATGTTTCACTTCACTCTGCAGATTTAGAGAATTCTATCTTACAGCTTGTTGAAAATTCTAAAAAGATGCGCACATTCCTGCTGCATGGTCAATATTTGAAAGGCTTGGAGCAGACTCTTGAAAAGATGTTTCATTCTCTACCATACATTCGTGTCTTGGACCTAAGTTTCAGCAATGTGGTAGAATTGCCAAATTCTATTGAAGTGTTGAAGCTACTACGATACCTGGACCTCTCTAGAACACAAATCAAATCGCTTCCCAACTCCATTTGTAACCTTTACAATCTGCAGACCCTTAAACTTCTAGGGTGCCTTTGGCTTTGTGAATTGCCCAAGGACCGTGGTGACTTGGTTAACCTGCATTATTTTTTTTTTTTTGGTTAACCTGCATTATCTTGAGCTAGATGAGGTATTTTGGTTCAGCTGCAGGATGCTGCCATCAAAAATGGGAAACTCAACCACTCTAAAGAAATTGAATGCATTTGTTGTCAGTGACACGAGTGGACATGGAATTGCAAAACCGCAGGACATTGCATACCTTGCCGCTTTGCACACGTTAAAGCTAGGAAATGCAGTGAATGAAGCAAACACAAAGGTAGAGGAGAAGGAGAGCCTTCAGAGGCAGGTGTTAGACTGGAGTGGTAGAGATTTCAATGAACAAGATGAAGTCAAAGCAGAAAGGGGGCTTAAGGACCTCAAAGGTCACTCAAATCTCGAAGATCTGGCAATTCATCACTTTGTAGGCACGAAATCTCCTTCTTGGATGACAGATGGTCTGCTCCAAAATTTAGTTACACTTTCCTTATATCATTGTACTAAGTGCAAAATATTGTCTCTTGGTCAGTTACCTTGCCTTAAAGTGCTCTACATCAAAGGGATGCAGAAGCTTGAGGAATGGCCAGAAGATCAATACACTTCATTGTGTACGCTACATATTATAAACTGCCCCAAGCTGAGGAAGGTACCGAACTTCATGTCCCATTTAAGATTTCTCAAGGGAAAGAAGTGCGACTCATTGAAGGCTCCTCCAACGGCTCCCTCTCTGTTGTTTTTAATAATTATTAACAACCTTGTTCTGGAGGATTGGCAAGAAGGAAGGTGCATCGCCCAATATGATCAAGGCAACCTTGTTGACCAATCCAGTCCTGTTTTTGTTGGTCCTTTGCAATTGAAACTGGTAAACTGCTCCAAGATCCATTTACTGCCTCAACAATGTGCTCCACAAAAACTGGAGATAAGTGGATGTAAACTCCTAAGTGTTTTTCCTGTCCCATAGTTCGCCCAGCGTCTTCAGTATTTAGCTCTAGACACGTTCTAGTGTAACACTAGTGAGGGCACTACCCAATACCAATTCTCTCGACTCCCTTGTCATTTCAAACATCACAGACCTAATCTGTTCCCAAAACTGCCCCATCTTCTGGGTCTTAAGGCTTTGTACATCAATGATTGCACTCACTTCTCTGTCTCAAGCAAAAGAATCGTCGCAAAGCCTGTCCTCTCTCCGACTACTCTCAATTCAAGGCTGTCCAATGCTTGAATCATTGCCAGATGAAGGTTTACCAACAGCACTTGAGTGTCTGATGATTGGCCTCATGCCCCCTTCTAAAGTCTCTAGGTGCCAAAGAGCCTCCTTTTACTCAAGGACTTGTATATGGGGTGTTATTTTCATGCATGGTGTTACATTTGCCCTCACTTGAGCCACGGCACCCTATTCTTTGTTTTTTAAAATTACGATTAGAGTTGAAATCAAAACAATCAATTTTAAAATCGATTATGATACTACTAAACAATTCGTATATTCATTACTTTTTTATCTTTTTAGTTACTTGTATATTTTTTTTTTCCTTGACAGATGCTACCTTTTTCTTTCTGTTTTGAAAACTATCTTTCGTTAGGTTTGTTGGGCCTGAAGTAATAATCACAACAATACAGAAGTAATATACACAATAAATCCGCAGTAATAGATAACAATCAATAATAAAAAATACAAGAAAAATAAAGTACACCAAGATTTAAGTAAAAAATCCTCCAGTGTAGAAGGAAAAAATCATAGACCACTAGAAAAATCTCCGCTATCAAATAATGGATATACAAAGTTCTTCTCTAGCTAAACTAAAGCTAATCAACAACTAGAGAGACAATTGGAAAAATCTCACCAAATAAGTAACTCAACAAATATACCATAAATTTGTTCCTAGAGAACTTCAAACCCTTCATCATTCAAAATATAGAACTCTGAATCATAAACTTACTAACAAAGTTTCAGCTCAATCAAACAACGGATCGACTTTTGTTCAACCAACTCTCCCTTCTCTTTTTTCTCTCTATTTGTCTTGGTTATTTTTCTTTCTCTTCTTGGTTTGCAATACCACCTTTAAAACAGTCCCACCTCTTTTTATTAAACAACTAGGGCTCTGTGTAAAAAGAAAAACCAAGGCCCATGGCCTTTGATTGGTCTAAAACCAATTACATGGGACTGGACCTTATTTTTCTAACAATCTCCACCTTCAGTCCCATTAGAAAGAGATTCATCACCATAGCAGTTTCATTTGAAACTTACATTGGCCAAAGAACTCATTTAAGCCAAGTTATTGCAGAGCTTAAGCTATCTTAGTCAACATATCTGTTACATTCTCATCAGTATGGATTTTCTTCAGCATTATCTGTTGTTTCTCAATCACTAAACGTAACTAGTGATATCTAACATCAATATGCTTTATTCTAGCATAGTACATGACATTCTTACTCAAATCTAAAGTACTCTGGCTATCATAAAATATCATATTTTTTTTTATTCAACCCAAATTCAAGAAGAAAATGTTTCATCTAAAGCATTTCTTTACCTGCTTCAATTGCTGTAATATACTCAACCTCTGTAGTTGATAAAATAACACACTTTTACAATTTAGATTACCAAGACACAACTACTCTTACAAAAGTGAACAAATACCCTGAAGTAGATTTTCTACCATCAAGATCACTTGCCATGTTAGCATCAATAAACCCTTCTAGAACTGATTGTGAAACTTCATAACTTAAGCACATTTTTAAGGTGCCCTTCAAATATATGAAAATCTATTTCACTACTTTCCAGTGAACCATTTTCGGATTAGAAAGAAATCTATTCACTATACCAACTGCATGAGCAATATCAGGCCACTTATAAACCATAAGATACATTAAAGAACCGATTGCAGAAGAATAAAGAATGCTAGACATAGCTAGTTGCTCTTCCTTAGACTTAGAAAAAATTGGTTGGCAAGTGGACTGCTAATTGATTTAGCATGTTCATGTTGAATCTACTAAGCACCCGTTCAACATACTTTTCCTGTGACAACCACAACTTTCTAGCTCTCCTATCATGGATAATGTTTATACCAAGAATCTGTTTTACTGGACCTAAATCCTTCATATCAAAGGACTTAGACAATTATTTTTTCAACCTACGAACCATATTAGTATCTTATCCCACAATCAACATATTATCAACATATAATAAGAGAATAATAAAATTACTATCAGAGAATTTTTTGATATATACACAAGGATCCATTGCCATTCTTTTATAGCTGTGGTTCACCATAAAAGAATCAAACTTTTTATATCACTATCGTGGAACTTGTTTCAAGCCATACAAGCTTTTTTTTAGTTTACAAACTAAGTGTTCTTTCTCTTTTACTTCAAAACCCTCATTTTGATTCATATAAATGTTCTTCTGTAAGTTACCATGCAAGAATACAGTTTTAACATCAAGTTGCTCAAGCTCAAGATTCAAACTAGCTGTTAATCCTAGTACCACTCGAATAGAACTTATCTTCATAACTGGAGCAAAGATCTCATCAAAATCGATGCATGGTTTCTGAAAAAACTTTTTACCACCAATCGAGTTTTGTATCTCACTAGTTTGTCACCATCTTTTTTTAACTTGAACACCCATTTATTCTTCAATGGTCTTTTCCCTTTTAGAAGTTTAATAAGATCATATGTATCATTTTTTCATAATGACTCTATCTCTTCTTTCATTGCTTTTAACTAGTGCTCTCTATCCAAGATAGTCTGCACATCTTGAAGCTTTCTAGCTCTCTCTCACTAGTAACTAAAATAAAATCTGAATTTGGATACTTGGGTAGATGGCATATGCTCTCTAATAGATCTTTTAGGCTGAGACTCTACATCACATGATGCCAAAGATAGCTCATTTTACTCATCTGATGGAAAATATTACTCTTTCTGCTTAAAACTGATTGCATCTGGCTCATCACTAACTGTGGTTGATACACTTATATCCTAAAGTTCTGTTTCTTGCTTATTTTCATCATCTGTGATTTTTTCCTGTGAAACCCCTATAGGTGTTGAAACATCACACTCAATAGTAACTCGTATAATCATCTCATTTTTCTCAAGGTCTGTTATAGTTTTTTTCATGAAAGATCATATATCTATTTTTTACTGTCTTTCTCTTCACTGGATCCCATATCCTGTAGCAAAATTTTTCATCACCATATCCTACAAACACATATTATGTGGCTTTGCTATCAAGCTTTGACCTCTGCTCTTTCGACATTGCATAAATACTTTACATCCAAAAACTTTCAAGTGAGAGTATGAAGCATCTTTCTCTATCTACATTCTTTCTAGAATGTTAAAGCCCAAAAGAACTGATGGTGATTTGTTAAGCAAATAACAAGTTGTGCTAACTGTTTCACCCTAAAATGGCTTTAGTAATTTTGTCATTCTTAACATGCATCTGATTTTTTCTATAATGGTGCGATTTATCCTTTCAGCTACACTATTATGCTACGGTGTTTCAGGTTCGGTCATCCCATGCCTAATCTAATGCTTTAAATAGTACTCTTCAAAGTCTTTGAATGTGTATTCCCCACCATTATCAGTCTGAATACACTTCAAGGGCAACCCTATCATCTTTTCCACCATAGCATGAAATTTATGAAAATATTACAATACCTGACTTTTATTTTTTAACATATACACCCAAGTCTTACATAAAGCATCATCAATAAAAGTAATAAAATACCTGCTACCACCTAATGACTAAATCTCAATAGGACCACATATGTCAGAATAAATAAATCAATTTTAATCTTTTTTTTCTAAAAACTCTTACGAAAAGAAACTCTATGATGCTTACCAAACAAACAATAATCACATGAATCGAGAGGCATATCTTTGGTCAAGGAAATAAGAGACTGTCTTGCCAAAACCTATAACATTTTCTCACTTATGTGTGCCAGCTTTTTGTGCCACAAGTTTACTGAAGCATCATCTTCAATAGCATTTATCTGGTTACCATTTAATTACATCCATGTCTTATACATTATGCAGTATAGTTTTTCCCTTACAACTATCATAGATCTTTTAAAAAACTTTCACTGCCCATTATTTTATCGACTTTAATATCCCTCCTTATTAAAGACATTAATAGCAAGCAAGTTCATTCTCATATCCGAAATATATCTGACATCCTTCAAAGTCAATATATAGCCTGTACTAGTTTATACAACAATATCATCACTCCCAACAATCTGTGACACACTTTTATTTTTCATCTTGGTGTAACTAAAGTCTCATACCTTGTAAGTTATAAACAAATCTCTCTTAGGAACACAATGATATGTCACTCTTGTATCAATTATCCACTCATGTATCAATTATCCACTCAATGTTGGGATCATCAACATGATTACAATCACCATATATACAAATCAAAGTAATTGAATCATTATCTGAATTCACTGCTATAACATTACCATCATCTGAACTCTTACCTTTTTTATCTTTTCGCTCTTGCTTCAAGATTTTACAGTGTCATTTTATATGACCTGCTTTACCACAATAGAAATACTTCACTTTATCTCTGGACTTGGATCTATGTTTAGACTTACTACGATCTTTTGAGTTCTGACCTCTGTCAATGTTTCTTCCCCTATTCTTTGTGACCAAAGTTTGATTCTCAAGGTCTATATCTTTTCGCCTTACTTCTTCATTAAACATACTGTCATTTACCATCTCTAACATCACCTTGTAATCAGGAGTTGAATTAAGAACAGTCACAACTAAAGTATTCCAGCTGTCTGATAATGAACCCAAAAGAAACGTCTTTATTTCATCATCTATCTTAAGCTCCATAATAGTCATCCGATTAAATATATCTTGAAAATCACTCAAGTGCTTTGTAATAGATCGTTCATCCATATACTGTAAAGTTACAAGCCTTTTAACAAGCATAACTCATACATGTTTTTTTCTCATACAATTCTGTCAATTTTTTTCAAATAATGTGGGCATTTACCTCTTACGCTACATGATGGAACATGCTGATATCAATCTATTTTTTTATTATAGCCAACGTCTTTTTGCATAGCTTCTTTTAGTTTTCATCTTTCATATTTGCTGGTTTAACCGAATCATCCAATATCGGTTCATTCAAATCTTTACAGTATAAATGATCTTTCATCATAGGCTTTCAAATTAAATAATTTGATGTTATCAATTTTATCATGAAACCTGTATAACCCTCTATGATCTCAAACAAAATTTACTTCTGTCTTGGGTTACTTCTGTATTGATATCTCAAAAATAATCATCACTCTGATACTACTTGTTGGGCATGAAGCAATAATCACAATAATGCAAAAGCAATATATCACAATAAACCCACAGCAATAGACAACAATCAATAATAAAAAACGTAAAAAAAATAAAGCATACTAAGATTTACGTGAAAAACCCTCCAATGTAGAAGAAAAAAATTACGGACCACTAGAAAAATCTTCACTATCAAATAATGGATATACAAAGTTTTTCTCTAGCTAAAACTAGAGCTAATCAACAACTAGAGAGATAATTGAAGAAATCTCATCAAATAGGTAACTTAATAAATATACGATGGATTTGTTCCTAGAGAGTTTCAAACCCAATTTTCATTGTTAGAATGTAGAACTCTGAATCATAAACCTGCAGATAAAGTTTCAGCTTAATCGGACCACGGATCAATTTTCGTTCAATTAACTCTCCCTTCTCTTTTTTCTCTCTATTTTTCCTGGCCATTTTTCTTTCCCTTCTTGGTTTGCAACACCACTCTAAAACAACCCCGTCTCTTTTTATTAAGCAGCTAGGACTCTATGAAAAAAGAAAAACCGAGGCCCATGATTTTTAATTAGTCCAAAACTAATTACATGGGGCTAGACCCCATTTTCCTAACAAGGTTCTTAATTTCTTCCATTTTATTCTTCAGTTGTTTGACTTGTATCAATGCCAAAGCCATGATACCGACAGGCATTCTTAGTTTGCTAATTCAAATGCTTCTCTTAACATACATCAACAGGATAAATTAGCCGAGTTGGATGGATATCAATGCTTTGTATGTAGTTTAACTTGGTTTTGAATCCTCCGACTCCATAAATGCTTAGATCAAGGGCAAATCAAGCTCCAAACTTTGTCCATGCAAACTATGTTCATCGGTTAAAAAGAAGGACAAATATATATATATATATAAAAAAAAAAACTTTTTCTTCCTTCTTCGTAGTTGACATTAATTTATACATGTTTTTCTGTACATTTCTCTTGCTCATCCACTTTTAATGGAAGCATAGAAACTAAATTTTTTTATTTTTTTGAAAGGGGAGTCGATAACGAGAATTGAACTCATAACTTGTTCAATATCATTTTTTAAAAATAATTATATGAATCAATTAACCTAAGTTTTCGATTGGAAACCAAATTTTTTCTGTTCTACTATAAACACACAAATACAAGCAAACTAACCACTTTGCTCCAGAGACAGCAGCTTGAGGTGGGATGAAGCAAGGCTCAATCAGACCAAAATTTATACAAAACTAAAAAAAGCACAACTAAAAGTATAGTTCCCAATCCAAAGCCATCATCGAAGGCAGAGCTACTTGTTCGCTGAACTGAAGGAGTGCTAAACATGCGAACAGTAGGGAAGAAAGTAGAAAGCAGCTGCACAAGGACCAACAGTAAAAGAAGCACAAGCACCATTACAACATAAAAACTACCACCATCTGAGTCTCCTGCTTCAAATAGTGGCATAACAAACTCTAGCATAGAGAGCAAAGTAGGACCAAAGATCACCAATCCTAACACTCCCACCATTAGAGATGGTACTAATGGAGATGGCCCCTTCCTTCTCATCGGTCTCCTAATCTTTCCAACTCTTCTATTTTGTGGGGTTTTCAAATGCAAAGAATAATCTTCTCGGCAGTTAAAAGGGAGCTGTGTACTGTGAAAGTAGATGAGTTTGTTGAAGATGGACATGGAATTCAAACAATTTGATGATCCTTTTCTTTGGTTATTTGTGTTAGTTGACCCCAGGGGCAACTGTCCTTTAAGTCTATCCAATCATCTATTCTCTTTGTTTGTATTACAATGGAGGTTAGCTGTCAGGCCAACCAAAACCGGAAAATCAGAAGGCAAGTGAGTTTTTTTATGGTTTTCTCCAAGGATGTTAACCAAGGGAACTTTTCATTAGTAAGGAGTTAAATGCTAGAATATTTATGAAAAAGACATTCATTAGTAATCGATGCCTTCGAGGCGAGACAAACTTGATAATTTTAAACAATAACATGATGCAAAAACATAAAAAATTAATATAATTTAAAATTTTAACAAAAATTATATATAAATTTAATAAAAATTAAAAAATATATATGTTTTATATTCTTGTATTGATATAAATTTTATCACGATAATTTTTATATTTTACACATATTTAATATAAAATAAACAAAATTCAAATACATAAATTATTAAATTTACTAACAACATATCTTTCATTACGACGAGACTAGTAACGTCTACCAAGTTGTCCATATCAGGTAAGGAAAAAACACAACTGGGAGATGCATTTAAATAATACAAGGTACTACCATTCATCAAAAGGATTAATACCTAAACCCCTGTTTGGTTGAAGCTTAGCTTTCATTCTCTATACATATGAGTTTCAAGAGTTACCAAAGGAGCATTACTTACCAACCATGGATTTTTAATCAGAAGGCAAGTGAGTTTTTTAATGGTTTTCTCCAAGGATTTTAACATGGGAACTTTTCGTTAGTTAGGAGTTAATTGCTAGAATATTTATGAAAAGGACATTCATTATTAATCGATGCCCCAAAGGTGAGATAACTTGATAAATTTAAACAATGACATAAAAAGAAAACAATAAAAAATGACATAATTTAAAATTTTAACAAAAATTATATATAAATTTAACAAAAATAAAAAAAAAAGTGTTTTATATTCATATATAGACAAATTTTAACACAATAATTTTCATACTTTATATGTATTTAACATAAAATAAACAAAATTTAGATAAATGAATTATCAAGTCTACCAACCACGTATCTTTCAAAATGACGAGAGTAGAAACCTCTACCAAGTTGTTCATATAAAAAAAAACACATCTGTAAAACGCATTTGAATAATGCAAGTCACTACTATTCACCAAAAGGATTAATACTTAAACCCCTGTTTGGTTGAAGATTATCTTTCGTTCTCTATAAATACAAGTTACAAGATTTACCGAAGGAGCATTACTTAACAACCAAAAGAAAGCAAAAAATGGCATAGACTACAGATCACCAATCCCCTTACAGTTGGCATCAACTGATCATGTACCAGAGCTAATCTTGGTATGTGGCATCATTCTTAAGTTCATATTTAACCTAATGATTATTATCTTTGCAATGGAGAACCAAAGTCCTTGGTACAAACCATCCTCCCCTAGACCTTGCCCAATTATAACCACAAATATTTGACAAAATGTAATTTTAGGAGTTCCGTGCCCCAAAAAATGGCTTTCAACTCTTTTTTTTCTTTTGGTCTATAATCACATAGAAGTTCAAATTTCATCATACCAAATCCTAAATTGGGTAATGAACAAATATATTCATTAAAAAATATAGATACAGCTTTGTTGACTAAAAATGTAGACTGAAAAGATTCCATACAATGCAATTTTAGAAAACAGTGCAATATTCCTATATAGGATACCAAGGATAAGAGTGACGACCCCGTCCTTGCAAGTAAAAATGCTAGCAAATTCAGCACAAAATAAACAAAGTTACAGGTGCAAGTGCATGCGTTCAGAACCAAGCATGCAAAATAGATTTCTTCACCAGGATCAGGATGCCGTGCCAAGCTCCTAGTGTTGTCTACACACAGAGAGAAAGAAAAAGGTGTAACTCAAGTGTGCGTCATTCGGGCCAAAAAAAGCAAAGCTTCATCACACTTTATCAGACAAAAGTTTGTTACATCTAATCACGTTAAATACCTAATTAAGACACATTAATGGTATGCTGATGGTACCTAATCATACATACATATATATATATATATAGAGAGAGAGAGAGATCTACCACTACATCACTCAGCCTGGCACTATGAAACTGAGACTGCACTTGCTACCCTGCTCTATCTCCTGCAACTAAGTTACAACACTGTATACAAACAAAACAAATATGCTTGGGTCCAGCTACTATAACGCTCTAAGCCTCAGCGATCAAGATGGAGGACTATACTTAAGATGTTGCTCGTAGAAGTTGATCAACTGGAACAGATAAAAAGAGAGAAAAGAAGTGCAAAAAGTGTTAGCTCTTAGAGCCAATGTTAATTGACTAGGAAAAAGGTCAGGTAAGATGATGATCAATTACCAGAAGTGGATTGTTGGCTTTAAGATATCTGTTGTCCACCATAACCTCTTTTCCATCAGACCTGTCAAAAAATGCACCAAACAAATTTATCATCAACAACAGAAACTTCAAGTACAGCAATAAATTTGAGGACTCTCAAACAACACAATCACGTGTAAGATTGGCAAGCTGCTCTTCCAATTAAAATCAAAATTCAAAACCCAGAACTTTCACTATTCTAACAGTTCATATCACAACAACAGTTCCTGTCCCAGAACCCACTACTCACTGTTACAGCAGCATTAATTTCTCATCCAATATACAATTCTCATGGCTGAGAAAAGCTTCATCTTAAATTCACTAACGTACAAAATTCTCCCAAAGCCAAAAAGATTAGTCTCAATTGTGTCATACAAACACTCGATACCTTCATTTGAAGGTAAGAATTAAGATTACCGTCAGGCATCAGGCTACACTTGGACCAAGGTAATAGCTCAACTTGCAATTTGATTCCTATAAAACAAGTCCACACATGCTGTATGAACTATATTAAAGAAGTTTGAGAGAAATTTCAACTACCAGTTCTTAGATAATTAATAATCAACAATCTTTCTTCAATAAAAAAGGCCCCAAAAGTGCAATTTCCTATCTATCATGCTCTATGGATGAAATCCATTAAAGCATGCTACATTTTCATATCAGTCTTGTCACGTCCAAAAAGGCAACTCAATCACCTACTTGGACTTTAATTTCAAGCCAACATAAAGTTACCATTCTCTTGGAAAGATCTTTCAATGTCAACCATGAAGAATTTACATTCTCCACTGATAATTACACATGGATACAGAAGGCAGAAGCAGCCCAAGGTTCTTAATGAACTGTGGTACATTGTCCCAAATTTTAAACTAAAGACCAAGCCAGAACTCTCGAAGAACATTATTTTCCCTCACATTCCTTTAGAAAAGGAAAACATGTTGATGTTTTCTAAGAACAACATAGTCAAATACATGCACAAACAATGTAAAATGAGCCAAGAACAACTAAAGCTCTAAAGAGTAATATGAAAGTACATTTAAGTGTTAATACATCAGAATATAATAATTTACACAAGCAAGAACCACACTAAAGACCTTTTTTAGAGCAATTAAATTTATCATTATCTTTATGTGCAATATTGTTGAAGTTAGAAGTTTCGGCCTAAAAAGGTACTTAGCAATATGTAGATAAAATTTCAAGACAATATAAATCGTCAATTAAGGTACAAAGGCAAGAGGCTATATACAGAGTGTTTTGCGAGCTATTTGCATTGAATTTACTTCTAGATAGAAGAGAAAAACAACCATAACAACCTAAGAAAACACATCATCAACTCAGATAGTTATGGAACCTAATATCATGGCAAAGATTGGCTGTGAGATTCATTAGATGCAAAAGTTCTCCTTTTGTTTCTCCGTTAAAAAGTTGTGCACTTATCACAATAGTAGATTCTATTTTAGCTTTTTGTTTGGAAGACAGAAGCATGGAGAATTTTTTATCATATGAAATGATGGTTGCATTAGAGTTTGAAAGCAAACCTGATTGCCAAGAAGGTTACTGATACATCTTGAGTGTTGTCTGATACAGAAGCTGAAAAAACTACAGGCTTGAGGATCTTGGTTATGACAGGTACATTTACAGAATTATCGATAAGATGCCTATGACTCAAACCATCTGCTGAAAAACCAAGATTTTCAATTCCTATCTGCGCATCAGTAATTCCATAGCCAACATGGATATTTGGTGTTGCAGTTTGAGTCAAATTAGATCCAGAGGGAGATTGATCTTGTTTAAACCTCTTCACAGAACCAGACTTCCTTCTTTTGGCCCCTATGCGACGATCACTCTGAACCGATTTCACATGATCAACCTTTGGTAGGCCATTGGCAAGGCCATCACCTTCAGAAGCCGTGCCTCCTTGGAACCGTATTGCAAGCTTATCAGCATTGACCCCATTGGAAGATATCGCTCCTTTTAGCTCACTAAGCTTGGTATCATAATCATTTTCATCCTTCCTCTCTTCAATTTGCTTTGAACCATTTGTAGAACCATTCTCCTTAACTCTGTTAGATTTTTTGACATTTTTTGCATTTCCATTACTCTCTCCCTCACGTACTGGCACTGTAAGCGGACTTGAGGCAGAAAGAGTGGCAACGTCTGAATTGTCAAGAGGAACCAAGGGAGACTTATCAACGACATTGACTTCAAGACCAGTTGCATTATATGTAGAAGCAGAAGAGCGTGGCTGCTTCTTCTTGGACTGTATATGAGGACCACCATATTTGCGTTTGCGCTTTCTATTGTGCTTCCCCAAACGCAAGCTTCAAATCAAAAGGAAATTAAATACATATTTGCATGGAAAGGAAAAACAAGCTGTAAACACCTTATTTGCCAAGACAGTCGAGGATAAGTGAAAGGTAATGAAGGCCAAAATGTTACTTTAACAATTTATACCCTTTTTCTTATCCAGAAAATGGAAAACTATTTAACTCAACCAAATAGTTAATAAGTCTTAAACTAATTTGACTATTTGCCATTCAAATGGGTCAATAACACTAATAACAACAACGCTTGCTTTGGCTACTCAATAATACTAGTCTAAGTGAAATGAAACAACAATAAGGAATAAACACATTGTTAGCAAACAAAGTGTGCTTTTCTTTAACTTACCTAGCAACCATACAAAGCAAAGGATGATATGAACAATATAGAAAGGGAATCAAGGAATCTTACCTTTCCTCGAATGCATCTATAACATCAGAACAAGACTGGAGATTCTCTAATGGCTCCCATGTATTTGCAGTTTCCGGCCATCCACGCCTTCAAAACATGATAAAAATAACCCAAAATCAATAATTTGGATTGCCATTTTCTTAAGTAAGCTAATAGCTCATAAAAAAGTGAAAGAGAGACAGAGAAAGGGTGCTCACCATTTGATGAGATACTGAAGTTGGCCCTATTGTACACAAAAACACTCATAATTAGATAAAATAAAGATAGAAAAATAAACTTAAAAGTAAATAACTGAAATTTAAAAAAAAACCCAAAAATAATTCAAAAACCCCATTTGATAGCCTAACTTTGGAAACAAAAGAACCAAAAACAAAGACCAAAAAAACTATAAAAAAAATCCAACCTTTCGAACCCTTTTACGACGAATAGCTTCAATCTCAAAGAATCCATCATCAAGCTTAGTCCTTTCTTCTTCTTTTCCATCATCATTTTCTTCTTCTTTCCCTTCTTCTCCTTCTTCTTCTTCTTCTTCATCTTCCTCCTCATCTTCCTCCTCTTCCTCTCCTTCTTCCTTCTTTTTCTCCTCAAGTCCTTCACTTTCAACTATTTGATTCCCACTCCCTCCTCTTTTCTTCTCTTTCTCGCCACCTCCCCCTCCTCCTCCTCCTTCCTCACTCTGTACTACCCTTTTCCTTCCTCCTTTCATTTCTTAAACAAAACCCAAAAACCCAAATGAAAAAAAAGAAACACAAAGAAAAGCCCTTCCCCTTTTTTTATTCTCCCTCAATGAATTTTGAGCAGGGAAGTGAGAAGTGGGAAACAAAAGGGTGTTGTTTTATTTGGGGAAATATTGAGTTGGACCCGAATTGACTCCGACCCGGATTCTATATGGAATCCTCCCAAAGTCTTTAAAACTACTTTTTCCTATTTTGGCCATCTTCTCTTTGCCGCCTTTTGCTTCCGCCACAACTTATTCTTCTTTATCCTTTTTAACTTCTTTAAATGTAACTTAACAAATTTATTTATTCTTGAAACTTCAGTTCTTTAATCAAAATACGTGTGTTGAACTAAATATTTGTGTTGATGTAATTTCTGATCCCGGTGATAGAAAGTTCGTTGGACATTAAATTAAAAAGTATATCATATCATGAATAAAGTAAAAGGATATCAAAAATAATATTTTAAAGCGTATTTTAACGCTCCAACTAATAAATCACGGGACATAAAAATACAAAAGTTAAAAAAACAGTACTGCTAAATGCACCCTTTTTTTTTTTTTTACACCTTGATTTTTTGTAAAAAAAAATTATTTAATTACCATTTTTTTTAACACAAGTTTTTTAAAATATATTTTTTAAAAATTTATTTTCGAAAATTTTAAATCATATCAAAATATTTTAACATAAAATCTTACGAAACTAATACGAAATTAAACAAAAAAAACAAATAATTTACCTTTGATCTTACGCTTTTTTAAATCCAAATTAAGAAAATTTTTAAGTGCTATTCTATTTTTAAAATCCTCAAATCGTTTATTTTTTTTACTTTTTGTTTAATTTCATGTTTAATTTTATAAAATTTTATGTTAAAATGTTTTGGTAAGTTTCAAAATTTTTAAAAATGAATTTTTAAAAAATCTTAAAATTTTTTGAAAATAGGTATCCATAAGCTTTTAAAAAATTTTAAAAACTTATGTAAAAAAAATAATAATAATTAAATAATTTTACTTACAAAAATTTATAAAAAAATTAGAGTATGAAAAGAAAAGATTGGAAGGCATTTAACAACACTCGGTACAAAAGCAAAAAATAATGTAAAATATACTCCAATAAGAATATTATTAATGTGATTATTAAAATATAATAATTTGAATGTTTTATTAAATTTTTTAAAGAGTGCAAATATGTAGAGTAAATTTCAAAAATAATTAATAAAACTTACCCATAAACCAATTGTCCTCACTGTTGTCATTTAGCTTTGACATATTCCAATGTCAATCTCAATCGCTTAAATTGATTCTGTTTAAATTAGCAAATTCTTTTTTTTCTTTTTGTCTTTTTCCTTTTATGCTTCATTATTATGAAATAAAATTTAAATTTATGCTTTAAAGAAAAAGCTGGCTTTGGCCAAATACAGAAGAGAAAAAGCTGGCATTTTGCTTATATGATACAACTTAGATGTGATTACTTAGCATTATCCCTTTGTTCTTTGATTTAAACAAAACAAAGTAGAGTGATCCAATTTTGTACACTTTATAAACTTCAATGACAGCTTGTGTTGAGATGGATTACAATTTGGTGACAAGAATGGCTTACCTATAATACCTTAGCCCAAATGATAATTTGACTAAATTAATACTAAAATCTATCAATTTATTAAGAGATTAATTAGTAAAATAAAAAAAAATTGAGTTATTAAATAAAAAAAAATTTAACTATTGTGAAATAGAAAGAAAATACGAGTACTTCTTCCCCATCTTTTTTAAAGTTAGTGAGCATGAAAAATCAAGTTTGAGATTTAAAATCAAAGGCTACAATCAAGTTAATCCTCTAAAGATAAATATATATAATATTTTTATTTAAAAAAAATATCATATTGATTGTTATTAAATAGAGTTAAAGTTTAAAGAGAAAAACTAAGAAAATTATAAAATCTTTCATTAATCTTCATAATCTATTTAGATAAATTACTAGGCTTTATTTATTTCATGTTCTTAAGATTTATTGATGATTATTGAATAGAGTTTAAAGATTGAAAGTGGGGATTTGAATTTTAAAGATTGAAGGATAAATTATATTTTTAGATAAGATGCTATGATTTGCAATAGTGAATCAAAATAAAATTCTGTATTAATGGATTGGTTATTGATATAATCATTATATATTATTGGAAAGCTTGTTGAATCTGCTTTTTGATAAATAAACAGAAGTTGGATTTGAGTTTTTTATGGAATGTTGTCTAATTTTTACTTAAGAATATGCAAGTTATAAGGCAACAGCATCATGATTGAATTATGAAAATTGTTTTAATGTTTATACAAAGATTTACAGATTAAACCAAATATGTTTGGAAAGCTTATTGAGTCTATTTTTAAACAAAATAAGCGAAATTGAATTTAGAGTTTTCTATGAATAAATACGTAATTTTTATGAGAAGATATGTAGGCTGTCTGGCAGCAGTATATGACGTGGATTGCAAAAATTATTATAATTAATCCATAAAGAATCACGAGATGAGTCATAAATGGTTAGAAAGCTTATCGAGTCTAGTTTCTAATGCATTAAAAAGATTTTAATTCTGAGTTGGATATCTCAAGATATGATTGTTTTAGTGAAAAGAAGCACAGGCTGTCAGAATTAGTTACTTGAGTTAATTCTTATTTAACTTAATTGTTTTGGTATAAGTAGTCTCAAATGGGTTGATTAATTACTGTTATGTTGAAATTATCTTAAATAAGCTACTAATTATTTAAGGAAAAAAACTAGATGATGGAATTGGAATGAGGTAAATAGAATATCACACATTTTACTTATTTTTTAATCTATGTATATATGTATATTTCTAAATGAATAAATATTTTATTTTATTATTTTCGATGTATAAAAAAAGATCAAACATATGATTATTTTGTGTTTTCTATATAAATAATGGATCATGCTTATGAATAAAATGAGAAAATGATTTATATTTAAAGAATAATTTTATGATAGCTACGTTTTTATATACTTGAAAAGTAGAATCATTGACACCAGAACTGGTTTTATAACCCTGGCTAATGGGTAATAATAGTTAGCAAAGATATGATCATACAACCCTGTCTAACACGTAATAGTAATTAGCGTAAAACTCTAGCTAGCGGGTTATAATAGTTAGCAATGATCGTGATGATGAAATTGTTGATACAGCCAACGTCATGAGTTATAGCAGTGACTATACTTAATGATAAACGAATTATAATAATGATTTATAATGATGATGATGATTTATGATAATTTTAAACATTGATCCATGATTTGTATGAAATATGTATTTGACCATGATTTGTGATTTATAATTGATGAATTGACATGTTTTGACATTGATTTATGAATTTTCGAAATGTTTAACAAAACGATGATCTTGAAACGTTTTGACATTATGATTTGATGACATTTTAAATACTCTATATGATATATATGAAAATGATATTTGATCTGATAAGGTATGTGAACTTATACTTACTGAATTATGGTTTACTCATTTCTCTTTTTTTTTTTTTACAGATGATATGAATGTTAAGTATGATTAATCTTATTAAGAGCTAAAAGAATCTGAGCATTGAAGAACTACTTAAAGAATAAGATTTATGAAGTATTATTTCTTTTAATTGTAATACTTGACATTAATCCTTTGGAGACTTATTATCTAGATATTTTACTTATTGAAAACCTTATTTTATTTAAGAATTGTTCAATGATTAAAAAAAAAAACTTTGTATTATTTTAAAATTTTACTTTGAAGTAATAATATGATCATATTATGTTTTGATCTCAAGACGTGACATCACCACTTCAGCCTCCATCCACTGCCTCACAGCTAACACTGTAGTCTCTACTATTTTTCTTCCTCCTTTTCATTTCAATAACAAACAAATCAATGCAATAATGTATGTGCCATTGCACCAACAAATTAACACAAAACGTGTATAAACAAGCAACCACTATTCACTCATTTTGGTAAGGGACAATGGTAGCATAATGCCATGCCATTATGCAGCACTTAATTACACAACACTATAAATATCACTTAGTTTCTTAACAATATGATCTGGTAAGAGTAAGATCGAATTTACGTCGAGCCTTCAACTGGTTGGGATTGGTAAGTTCGCCGCCTTAACTGAGACTGTGCAGTTGGCTGTTGTAAAAAGATTCTAGTTGGATCGTTAGGGTCAACATATCTGCAAGAAAAACAGGGAGAACCATTTAGAGATAAGCTACTTAAGAATTCGGTCACACTATAGTGTGATTGATAATTAGGCCACTTACGCATGTCTCATCACTTCATCAACAGGAGTTTGTGCTGCTTGTAAAGGATCCACAAGAGGTTGGGGTCCGGGATTTACTTGTTGATTATATTGTCTAACTGAGGAAATCAAGTTTAAGAAAAGTGGAACAAAGGTTCCACAGCCACCTTCCTTGAACAAAATCTTGAATGAATGAGTTGAGTAGAGAGCCCTATGCCCATTTTCAGGAACTACCTAGAATTTCATAAAATCGAGACATTCAGGAACTGCTAAAAATTCTGCCATGAGTTACCAGCAGAAGAGTTAATCCATTTTACTTACAGGTTCCACATGACCAGAAATGTTGTTGCAGTGAAATATTGGTTGGTTAAACTTTTCATCATGCACATAAAGCTGAAGATAGGAGCATAAATAAATATATGAATCAGTCTCAAAAGGCAGGAGACAGTAACGATGATACTCAATCCAAATGATTGAACACAAAGACATAAAATAGTTGCAAGTTCCAACAGCAGCAATGTATGCCTGCTAAAGGCTCATATGCTCAATTTCAACCTTAAGGCGGCTTTTACAACTTTAGACCATTGCAGAATGAACGCAAAGAATGGTAAAAGATAGTTTTAGAAAACAAAACCGAGAGCAAAATGATTTATATTAAAATTTAGGGGTTATAAACTTATAATTTGCAAACATTGTTGAATGTTGATTACCAATTACATTTTCAGCTATTATTACGTACTGAAACCAGGGAAATTACTCATAGATCCCTGTCACAAATCATTCAGTATTAGCATTCCAACATATAAACTATGAAGCAACAATAGCGAAGGAAGCTCTAGCAGGTTGGTTGCCATAGGAAAATTGGATGCCAGGGGGTAAGTCATACAAACAAGCAAAGCTAAGCCATATTCACCATGATTGCTAACTAGTGATTTGAAGTTTAAACCAGAGAGAAATTTCAAGGAAAAAAAAGAAGGAAAGATAAATAATGAACGATGTAATCAGAGCCTAAAGAGAAACCCAACAACCCTGAAGAAGGGATATAGAAAAGGCAAGTCTGAAGCTGGCCAAACTATTAAAGCAAGAACCCAAAATTAACAGGAAGGCAACATTCATGGGCAACAAGGAATTGGTTCGATCGGTTACTTCGTTTGTCTCAACAATAAGATGCCTTGGGTATGACGCTTTGAGCACCAGTGGCCTCTCGTTGATGCTAATCTAAAACCCCTCAGCAATACCTACGGCCCTGACAAAGGATTGAAGCAGCCAATCTGCCTCCAAATTCTATAACTCAGAACAAAAAAAAAGAAGACGTACCAATGGCATATCAAAAGCAAAGAAATTCCCAACAGGGTGACTTGCAACAAAAATCATCCTTATATTGGACAAGTAAATTGTGCCCCTTGCCTTTACACAACCTCCCTGAGATCTGAAAAAAATAACAAAACCCCATAATCAAATTGAACCAGGCCTGCATCTTATTCTTATCTAAAACCCCTAAAAATGAAAATTGAAGATTAAAATTAATAAGGGCACCCGGGGATCTTGTCCACTTCGAATTCAACACCATCTCTGACGAGAATGAACATCTCGTTGGTGAAAGGAACTGGCATACCATTTGGGAATAGCTGAGGATTTAGGGCCATATTTTCCTTCTTTTTTCTGATAGAAGAATAACAGAATTACAGCTTTCTGGACTTGGTTTTGGAGGAGTTGATGTGCGTATTTATACGCGCAGTTTGTTCATTGATTCTGACGTGTTAGACTGCTAATTTTAGAGAATGCTATAACCTTCACCTCCAACCGGAAGTATGAAATATAGGGATGGGTTAAAGTTGCATGAGATATGAATAAATTTTTAAAAGTGATTATAATAATTATATGAATCGGATTTTTATACACCTTTCATACTCTCTAATGTATTGCCATGTAAACAGAGTTATGGCATTCTAAGCCACTTGTTTCTGACGAAGTACTTTAATTTTCTGTTGAATTATAGTACTTTTCAAAATTGACAACAATCCCAGATATTGAATCGAACATAATCTTCATGTGAAAATTGTGTAACGAAATGGAAAAAAAAAAAAAAAAATGTTGTTATTGCTGTCTGAATTTTATCTTTGGTAGAAAAAAAAAGTTGTGAAATGCTTCATTCAAAAAATATTTCTGTTTTCTATGAACAACCATTTGTAGGCACCACCTAAAAGGAAAGACACATTTGTACCCCAGGCTAATGAAAAAGAAATAAGTATTTCGTAAACAACTATGCATGTTAGAAGGTTCATCAGTAACCTGAATCCTCGATCCTACTAGGCATATGAAAGCAAATATCGCTGCAGATGTTTTGTTCTCTTTTTGTTTTTTAACGTCAGAAAGGCACATGACTCAATTTGCCGGATTCTTTCTCTGCTTAAACCCATCGACTCCCCGATTTCTTGCAAAGTTTTCATCCTTCCGTCCTCCATTCCAAACCTACATCTGATCACTTGCCTCTCTCTTGGACTCAGACTGTTCAACACCTTCTCCAGATCCTTCTTCATGAACTGCCTGAGCAGGATATCTTCTGTCGTGTCTGCTTCAGGATCCGCAATTACTTCCTGGACAATATTAACAGTCCCATCAGAAAACAAAACAAAATCAAATTGCACTAATGATTGCAGGTTGAAAATGGGAAAAAAAAAAGAAGACTAATTGCCAGATTTGAAATAGGACGGACCGAAGGTTTGAGATTTTGGTTGATCCCAATCTTCTGATCCAGAGATCTCGGAGCTTTAGGCGTGAGGAGAACGGCAGTGAGCTTCTTCATGGAGAGCCCTGTTGCCTCTGCAACTTCTTCATTGTCAGGCTGTCTTCCATTTTCACTGTACAATCGCTTTCTAGCCTCCTTCACTCTATATGTTGCCTCAACCATGTGAAACTGTAAAGCCAAAAAAGTTGAAAAAGCTATCAGATTTGATGCATTTACTTCAATAATAACTACATTTATCATGAAATCATTCACCCAACATGACAGTAATTGGTAGTATCTTATTTATCATAGACACTTCCAAATGGCAAATGCATTTAGGTCCAGAACACTATAGAACTTACTGGCAGGCGAATTGTCCTAGAGTGATCAGAGAGAGACTTCCGTACCGCTTGCTTAATCCACCAATAAGCATAAGTTGAGAACCTGAAACCTTTAGAAGCATCAAACTTCTCAGCACCCCTTACAAGGCCTCGGCATCCTTCCTGTGACCCAGCAATATTTAGACATTAAAAGCATGAGGTAAAGCCACTCTTTTGCTCTCTCTCTCTCTCTCTCTTTCTTTCTTTCTTTTTTTTTCACAGTTTCATCCTCATGATAAACTCAACTTGTTCAGCTACATGTCGGAGATCACATACCTGAACAAGATCCTGGATATTCATTCCAGCTCCCCGATAATTTTTTGCAATTGAAATAACAAGCCGTATGTTGCTTTTAATCATTTTGTCCTTGCAAAGTACACCATAATTTATGCGCCTCCTCAGGGTCTGTGGATCAACTCCAGCAGCAGCAGCCCACTGTGCAAAGGTTGGCTGTCCTCCACATCGCTCTGCAAGCTCCTCCTGGAGCCTTTCCAGTTTCAGTAGGTCCTGAAGTCAGTGATAAGAGAAGAAATTAGAAATTTACAAAATGAAGAAGGTAGAAGTACACATTAAAGTTTTAGTTCATAGTGCAACATAGGAAGATTTAATAATCTTTTAATAAACCATTTGGATAAGCAAATCACAACATTGATGGTCTATGATGCCCAGATAACACAAACACGTAGCAGACAAGCCTTACATTCAGAAATCTCGGGAAATTCATGGCATTATCTCGGTTAAATATCCAAGGTAAGAAATGCACACTCAGTGACAGATTAAGTGGTTACAGGAATGTTATCTCTCTAAGATTCTTAGTTTACCAATATGCCTTTCAAATTATCATACCTGTATTCCTTCCGACAACTCAAGTTCTTCATTAGCAGTGAGAAGCCTGGAAGTACTGGTAGTCCCTCTAAAGTAACGCAATGAATCAGAGTAGTCTACATCTTTTAAAGCACCACGCCTTTTTTTTTTGGTAGAACCAAACTTCACAGAAACAACATTGGCAGCAGCTTTCTCTGCTGCTCTTGTTCTTCTGGCTTTTCGTTCAGGTTGGCGCTTTGACCTCACTGCTATACTTCTGGATAACTGTTCCTCAAGAAGTTCAAGTTCTTCATTTGTTGGCTCTAGTTCATCAGATTCTTTTGTGGAATTTTGTTCTGAATCATCTTCTTCCAGTTCACCTTCATCTGTGAGGAAATCTCCAGCAATACCAGCCCTCTCTGCTTCAATAAACAGAGCCCACTTGGATGTGGAAGTATCACTTGCAGAAAATGCTGCAGATTTCATTTTCGTTTTTGCAGAACAGTAGTTCTCAACCATCAAGGCAGCATCTTTAGCAACCTTAAGAGCTGCTTGTGCAAGAGCTACTGCTTCAGCAGCAGCAGCAGCAATTACAGCCTCATCACTTGCAAGAAGATTTTCAGTTGCTAAAGTTGCTCCAAATCTTGCCTGCAGACACACCAAAGACAGTGAAATTGTAACTGTGTCACATACATTATAGTGTGACCTCATAACAAGTACCAAAATTCTGTAGTAAATTTCGATTCTTATACTAAGATTATTCAACCAGAAACTACGATTCTAAATACAGGCCCAGATGATAAGGCAAATCAAGACAACTGCCACTGAGAGTGATCTTCAGAACTGACAATATGGCCAGAACTCAGTTTCCCAGAATGAAGAAACACAAAGAGGAGTAACCTATTATCCAGAGATTACGAATTTGCTCAATTTTTATAAAATCACTCAGAAAACAGAATTGCTGGAATAAAGACACCCTTAAATGGGTCTAAAGCAAAACCTATGCACTTCTAACCAAAATGCAATTCCTTGAGAGTTACAGGCTCATTGTCTAGCATGATCTTCATATGAAATAGACAATTCATAAGTTTATCTAGAGGCAATGAACTAGATGATGGAATAAAGCATGTCTATCTCATAAGAGCAATTGAGAATACCCTACATCTTTTTCACTGAAATTCTCAACTTCATATCCTCAAAAGAACAAGACTGACCTCTGAGGGCGGACCAGTTGCCCCTATGTATGTCCATGATCTATCAGCCACAACTGAATTTGGATTAGCTTCAAAAGATGGTAATCTTAGCTTCTCTACATCAAGCACTGCAGTTGTCGCTGTCGATGTTGATGGTGAAGTAGTAGATAAAACACATTGTGCCCGGAAACATACAGATTCTTTATGTTTTACTGCAGATTCAGCCAATAAATCTTTAAAAAAATAATAATAATGACAAACGATGCCAATGCCAAATAGGATAATAAGTATACAAGAAACATTGCGAGCCAATGAATTATAAAACTTTAAAGCTTTCATTTAATAATCATACAAATGAGTACTACAAAATTGTATCCAGGACCCACTAATTGAGGGGGGTGGTGCAGGAGGGGCACCATAAGTATTGCACTCAAAAATACTAAAACTAACTTGTAAAAATACTAAAACTAATTTGTAAATGTATTCTAAAGATTCAATCATATGAATGACCGCCAAAAATAAATCCAAAAGTGGAGAATGCTACTCACAACTAGCACAAAAAGGCAAAGCACTCCAATTTCACTTCTAATTAAATAAAGTCTCTAACTTTCAATCCAATATAAAATGTAACAACTACCCTTCTCAATTTTAAATAAAAACAAATGCATTTATGAGTAGTATCAATTTACCAAATTCAAAACCAGTACAGAAAGCAAAGCACACCCAGTTTAGTTCTGATTGAATAAAGTCTCTAACTTTCAATCCAGTTTCTAAAAAAAACACATTTATATAGCAACTAACCATTTGAATTCTGATTAAACAACGACATTTTTTGGTGTGAAACTTACAATGGTGAGAGTGGTGAGCTCTGAATTGGATAGAGAAAGTGTCAGGTTGGCACTTGAACTGTGGCAATAAACAAGACATCCTCTCCTTTCCTCTTCACTCTCCTTCCTGCTTCTCACTGATAACTTAACTTAAAAAAAGAAAGCAAAAAAAAAAAAAAAGGTAAATTTTGGTTTTTTCTTCAACAGCCCATTGATATGATTCCTTAGAAGAAAAGAACAAAAAAGAAAATGGGTATTATTGAATTGTCTCCAGGAAAAGGCAAGTTGAAGGAAATAAGGAAGGACAAGAAGAGAACTGAACAAAGGAGTCTGATAGATGGGCAATGGGTGTGCTGTGATAAATAAGTGGATAAGGCGAAGAAGGATTGCCAGAGGATGAGAGAAAGACGGACAGCAGACACGAAGCCCTTTCTACCCTTGTATTTTGGGTTTTTTTATTTTCACTTCATTATTCCCAAGCTTTTCATAACATTTATTATTCTAGGATAAAAAAATAGATTATAAATTATTTTCATACAAATTTTATAATTTTAAAAATTTTATACTTAGAAAAATTTATTAGATTTTTAGTTATATAAAAAGGTCGTATTATAATATAAACCCCTTGTTTTTTTCTCTTCAATATAAAATTTTCAAATTAATTAAAATTTGGAGTCTTTTAAGTTAATTATTTAATATTAAGTAATGCTAAGGGTTATTAAAGAAAATTACTAACCATTTATATATTATACACAGTATTAGTCCAATTGATAAAGCAAAAAATTTAATTGTCTTATTGAGAGAAAATTTTTGAATATACATGTATTTGTTAAAATAAAAAAATAATTTGGAGATAACATCGATTGTATTAAAAAATAATTTACAAATATTTTTCAAAATAAAAAAATTCAATGCTATTATTGTTTGATTAGATGATAAAGATACAAAATGATTTACATAAATCCAAAATTTATCTCATTTAATTCATACTATCGTAATTAAAAGATAATATTTAAGAAATTCAAATCTTAATCTTATAATTTCTTTTATTTTCAATGATTTCCAGTTAAGATATTATTTTCTGAAAACAAATACCAAAATCTAATAGTAATGTCAATTTTCATGCGGTTGACAGGCCTTGATGTTCATGCAAACAAGGTTATTTTGGTGTTTGAGAATCATATAAGATCCTTTTTAAAAATTAATCTAGAAAATTGGAGAGCACCAAAATATATATATGAATTCCTTTTAAGAGAGAAAAAAGTTGATCTCTTTTATTAAATGCAAATTACAGAATTTGTCTAACTGAAAAACACATAAAACCTTGAATCCTACCTTCTAAATTAACCCAACTGAAAAAATAATAATAATAAAAACCATTATTAAACTTGAAAACTCTAAGTGGCAGCTGATTGCCAATGGTTGAAACTGATCTAAACTGCTGGTGGTGATTTAGCTGCCTCCTTATTAGAACAATACTCCTTAATCATAGGAGCGAAAAATGGATTGTTGAATTGATCGAAAATTGTATTCAAGCAATCTTCATGCGTTGCATTAATAGCAGCACAACAATCTTCAGTAAGGTAGGGTCTGAGTCTGAGGAAAGACCTTACAATATCCTCAAGGCAGGTTGCTTGTGACGTGAAGGATTAGAAGCACTTGTCGTGTGGTGGCGCAGGCGGTTCGCTGGGAGGCAAAGGTGGAGAAGCTTGCCACCGAAAGAACCATTGCAAAAAGAAGTTGGGTGGTGCTGGAGTTGACGGCTTATCGTCTGCTAGGCCTTGGCTGAACAGTGTTGCTGAAGTAGCCAGGACAAGTAGCTGGGCTAGATATACTTTCTTCATGGTGAAAACTTGAAATTGAAGTTTGTGATGCATAAAAATGCAGTTTGGATGAGGATTATATCGAAGAAAAAAAATTTAAGTATGTTTATAATCTGATTACTTTTAATTTTTTAAAAAATCAAATGATAGATATCATTATCTTTTTTTTCTTTTGATTTGATAAATATAATTATCTTACTTTCAGAGTATTACTAAATTAAAACACTACATTACTAGATTAATGAAAAATTTTTAAAATTTAAAATTCTTCAAAAAATATCTATATTATTGTGTTTTATTGACTTCATTAATGATTCGTTTCTAAAATTTAAGAATCTTCAACAAAACAATCTATATTGCTGTGTTTTATTGTATTAGATTCATATTCAAATTCAAAATTTGATGCCTTGATAATATGTACGATCAGTTGATTATATATATATATATATATTTTTTTTTTTGTAAGAATTTTGTAGTTGAAGCAAAATGGAATATAAAATAGGAGATATGGAGTAATGAAATTGGACAGTGGAAGGATTGTGAGATGGCAGGCTTGAGATTTGAGAATGAAACCTCAGACACGCCTGAGAATAATCTTGAACGATGAGATGAGCATCTCTTCCAACTCGATCAAATTAGACCCTACATTTCCAGGGTAGCTAAGAACTCGAAACAAATTATCTTAAATTACACTCAGAAATTGGCAGAAACCGTTTCTGATTGGTTTTTGGAGATTATTACGAACGATTTGGTGGCTGGATCTTTCTCATAAGTCATAAGCAATAGTGAAGGAATAAGCTTCCAAGTACGGATTCTTTTTTTTTTTTTTAAATGAAGAACCCTTAAATATTTGAATTCCCTTTTATTATATATAAGAATAAGAGAGAAAAAAATTGATCCCTTTTATAAATACAAATTCCAGAATTTGTGTAATTGAAAAACATATAAAATCTTAAATCCTACCTTCTAAACTTGAAAAAAAGACCATTAAACTTGAAAACTCTAATTGGCAGCTGATTGCCAATGGTTGGAACTGATCTAAGCTCTTGGTGGTGGTGCTGCTCCCCCCTTATTAGAACAATGCTCCTTCAACTGAATAGCTACATCTTGGTACCGCACAAAAATAACATTGAAGCAAGCATCCTGGAATAATTCCTTAACAATAGGACAACATTCTGGTCCAGTGTCGGGTTTGCGGATCACGAAAGAATGTAGAATATTTAAGGCAAGTTTTATCTTTTCTGAGGTATTCCAAGCAGTTGGCCACCTTAGGGTCCTGTGGCGGCACCTCTATGGGGTCCTGTGGTGGCGAAGGAGATGAATCCCAAGGCCTAGGGAACCATGGCCAAAAGAATTTGATTAGTGTAGTCGGGTGCTCATGATCAGCAGCTAGACCTTGGCTGAACAATGTGGCTGAGGTAGCTAGCACAAATAGCAGGGTTGGCATTTTGCTCTTCATCGTTGTCGAAATGGAAATGATAAAGCTTGGAAATGGAAATGATAAGGCTAAAAAATGATGTTGTGATGTATGAAAGTGATGCAAAAGCTGGTATTATCTAGGTTTCGTTTGCAGAAATTTATTTCAGAAAATATTTTTTAAAAAATGTAAACATTTTTTAAATTGGTAAAAATTTTCTATTATTTAGACGAATTAATAAAAAAATATTTTTATTATTAAGTTGTTTTTTTGAAAAATCTGTTTTTTTTTTCAAATAATATTAATATAACTTTTAAAATATTAAAAATTATTTATTATTAAAGTATGTTGAAATTATTTATTATTAAAATTATTAATATTCAAGAATAATTATATTTTATAATAATATTTAATATTAAAATATTATATTAATATAAAAATACTTAAAATAAAACTATTTATTATTTTTATATTAATATTTTAAAATATTTAAATAGTATTAGTTTTCTTAAAATATTATTTTTATTAATATTAAAATATTAATATTTATTATTAAAATATTTATACTATTAAAATATCTATATTTTATATTGAAAGTATCTATTATTAAATAAAAAAAAATTTATTTATATTTATTATTAAAATAGTAATATAAATACCATAATAAATAAAATATAAATTTATATATTTTAAACTAAAGGTAACAAGAAATTATAAAAATATTCATATTAAGAAAATAATATTATTATATTATTTAACATTAATTATTAAAATAATGAAAATATTATTATTGTTATTTTTTATTATTAAAATAATATTAATACTATTTATTATTGAAATATTAAAAAATTTTATGTTTAACAATATAAAAATAAAAATATTTAAATTTGAAATATGAAAAAACTTTTAATGCTAATATTTTAATTTTTTAATTAAACTTAAATAAAATATATTTATTAATATAATAATATTTCAAATCAAATTAACTTTAGTGTTAAAATATTATGTTCAAAATCGTATTTGAGTATAATTATAAAAATATTTAAAATTAAAATATTAAAAGATTTTTAATATTAATATTTTAATTTTTTAAGTAAAATTAAATAAAAATATTATTTATGAATATAAATATATTTTAGGTCAGGTCAAATTAAATTTGAATTTAAAAAATCATGTATAAGTTCTTACTTGAGTAAAATCACGCTTAAACACATTGATAAGTAATTATATTTGTAGACAACTATTTTCTGGAAATTATCTTTCCCTTTTGAAAAGGATAAGATAATTTTTAGAAAAATTGTCTCATTTTTCGTTGGTCAATAAGTCATTTTTCATTAATCAGTCAGTTATTTGCCAAATACTTGAAAATGTAAAAATTATTTTTTAAAAGTTATTTTCTATAAAACAAGTGGAGTTATAGTAGTGGAAATATTTGAATACATTATTATTTTACATTTTAGTAAAAAATGGTAGATTAAATAGCTAAAACCATTATTTAATTAATTATTATATTAAAAAGGAAAATTAAAAATGCTAATTTTGTATCTTCTTTACATAAAAATGTGAATTTTAAAAGTATTAAAAGTGATTAACTCAAATATTTTATTTAAAGAAATTACAAAATGTTAAGATTCAAAATCATGCATGTCCAACCTCTTCCCATAATTTTAGATTATGGCATAATTTCTATAAAAAAATATTTTATTAATTTATTATTAAATTAAAGAACAATCATTTAGTTTAACTATCAATTAATTTTTATTTTGTTAGACTCTATTAAAATACAACATATATAAGCCATAAATGTATCAACTAAATCAATTATTAAAATTATCCTTGACTTGATGATAGAAGAAGCAATTGTATATGTTGGAATTTGCATTTGAAATCTATTTGATATCATCTTTTATAAGTGATTATATAAATTAGATAAATTAAAAACTCTGTGTTTCATATGATTTCAGTTTTGAAAGTATATAAAAGACTTGTGTTTTGTCTAATTTGACTATTGTCGAATTGTTTTCAACCTTTACTAGTTCGTATCAATGTGAAGCAATTAACTTCCAAGAAAAGATGAAAAAATTGGTTGTTTTTGTTGCTGTATGTGTAGACACTCACAATCTGACTGAGGGTCTATATTTGATTTTTGTTAAAAAATAAAAAATTAATTAAAAATGAAAAGGCTAAAAAAA